ATAGATATAGAATTCAATCCCAAACAAGCAGAATTTTATTACATTTCTATATTGAGTTAAATCACGGTTTCCTTTTCAAATTATACATATTCAATGGAAAAAGTAACATTACCTTGCTAATTTTAAAACTCATAGTATTGGATAGTATTTAATATTAAGTGAGTCCTAATCCAAATAGTTTTTCTCTGTGCAGTCTTAGAAAATGCATACACTATAAATGCAAACAATGTGCGGCTAATTCAAAATACTCAAACATTCATGCCACTTCCGCGCAGGCGCACCAATCTCCGAAAAGCACTTGGCATGCAGCCCCCGGCTGAGAAACTGAGAAACTCCGGCGGTGTTAGAGGAAGTGTTTAGGAAACCACTTAAAGCCAATAACCGAGGGGGGAAAAGGGGCGATTTGAATTTATAATGAACTCAATGAAGCATGAAGTCACATTTTACGACCAAGAAAACATGGAATTCAAATTAAATAGCAGAAAAAACCAAAGGTTATTAAAAATGTTTGTTAAGGCCCATCAAAAATTTATGATAAAATCAAGTAGTGTGAAAGATTTTAAGGGAATTATCCGGCGGATACAAAAAATATTCAATAAAAAGGCGAATAACTTAAATAGAATAGTAAATATTATAGGAATAATAAACAAAACCAATATACCAGGAAATATCAAACATGCTATGGTCATTAATCAAAATCAAGACGGATGTGAAAAACTCTTTAAAACTCAAATAAAAGCTACGAACTTAAACAGATATATTCGAAGCTCCCCTCATCAAAAGAAACCGCTTGAATTAAACAAAACCCCAGCTTTCTATCACCCAAAGTCGCCCAGATGACATCAGTTATTATTGCAAATACTATATAGTATGTATTGCAAAAAAAAAAGCTTTCAACCAAATCAAAAACAGAAAACGTGGAAGGCATTTAAAAACACAGAGAATAAACACAAAAAACAGAAGCCAAGCAATTGACAACAACAGCAACTGACATATCTATGTCAATTTCCATTTGCAGTAAGCAGCAAAGGAGCCCCAAAAAAAGAATCAAATAAGTTTTAATTAAATTAAAGACAATCCCAAAACAAGAAATTCAAGTAAAGTTGGAACCGAAATGTCTTTTGCGCAGCAATTGAGAATAATTCAATTAGAGATTGACAGAAGTGGAAAGCAAAGCTCAAGTTATAGCCCATATTTATATGGCTGATAAATATGCCAGCTGCTTGACAGAAATCGGGCTCCAATCCGTTTTGGCCATGTCAGTCACGTCTGGCCGGGAGATTTGCGTGCCAGTTTTTACAAGTCTCCGATAATGCTAATAAATAAGTACGAAAAACTATTCCATTGTCGCCCTACCAACTGACAGTAATGGCCTGTGCCTATAAATATGGCCTAAACGACAGCCAGTTGACCCACTTCCCTCGCCCACTCGAAAATGACTTCCCTCTCTCTGCTAATCCGCTGAATTTCCTTGACATTGAACCATATTTAGTGGCACAAGCTGTTTACAAGTCTCATGCAAACATAGAATGAATTCCAAAGTCAAAATCCCAACCAGTTTTGAGTTGCCATTTCAAATGAAGGCGTTAATTGTGGTTCGAAAAACCAGTTTTCAAAGATCTTTTGCAAGTCACTTTTCTGTTAGGGATGAGTTCTGCCATTGACAAATTTGTCATTGATGATTGCGGTTTCCAAATTAAATGTCCAATTGAAGTGGGTACGAGTTTATGGCCGCAAACAACTTTGAAAGTGCCAAAACCCGGCAAATGCAAAAAAAAAAAGCTTGAAAAAGCTTTGAAATATAGCAGTGAAACAGTGTTGCCGTGCGAAATGTTTTCTACTACTTTTTTGGCTTTTCAAAAAAAAACAAATATTAAACAAAAAAAACAAAGAAATATATATATAAAATCGCATCAATTTTACTCGTTTTCCCAAAGCTTATGTATACAGTTTCAACACTTATAAATTTCAATAGACTTTGATGCAAGGTAACTAACATGAATTAAATAAAACCAAAATGAAATAAACTTTAATCAAGATTGATAACTATTAGTTTAAATCGCTTGAAATCACTTAAACCCTTTCAAAATTTAATTTGATTTGATGAAATACATTTGTAGCCAAAGCGCGCCTTACTAATCATTTGGCTTCACCTATCGATCGAGTTTGTTCCGAATCCAATTGAAAATTACCTACCTCAATTAACGGCCCAATTCCTCTCACACTCCAAAATGCAAAACAAAAGATGGAATAGCTGAGAACACACAAAATCGAATTGGATACAAGCACAAAAGTATTTCACACTTTCTAAAAGGCAATCAGCACGGCCAACAACAAACAAATCAACTTCAATTTGTTGCAACAACATCGAACTCACCGAGTTACAAACAGAACCGAAGACAGAAACAAAAAACACAGAGGAAAATGGAAAACACAGGGAAAATTGTGCAATCTGCAAAATGCGTTCGTTGGAAACAAACTGAAGCAAAAGAAAATAAAACATCCAGCGCCAATGAACTGAAATGGTTTCATTAGATGATCGAAGGGGCGATAGAGGGACCCATTGGCGACTGACGACTGGAAGAAATAGAACTTAATTAGTGGAAAATACGACGGCCTAATGTTGTTGATATGTGAAGTGTGCTTTGGTTGGCAGAGGGAGAAGGAGCATAGCTGGTTGGAAAAAGAGGGAAAGCTGAGGATTCAGGGGCCACGAAATGTCGCCGAGAGAGCAGTATCCACAAAGTCCCTAATACACCAAAGCGTAATATTAATAGATCTCAGAGGCAGATTCCTGATGAGTAATAGGATTCGTCAGAAGTTGGTCTAAAGAGAACATTAAATGTGGCCTTCAGTTAGAAATGCAATGGTTTTGACAAATTCATTGAATTTTAGAAGCTCAGGTTTCAGAATTTACTGGTAGAACGTTAGAACCTCCAAAGAAACTATATTTTTTTTGTAAAACTTACCAACTGTTTACTTTAGTCGTTGACTTGAGAAGTGTCCAATATCGTTTAAAGCCCAACCAAATCTTCATCTTTTTATTTCACTAAGTTATCCAGACTGAAAGAAATTCCTTATTTAGTATATTTGATATTATAATATATTCCTTGATAAGAAGAACTTACATATGTTTCTTAGCAAACCAATAAGTATTTCAAACTGAAAGAAATTTTTTTATTAGTTAAATGCTATATATATTATTACCTTGGGAATCAGTAATATTTTAGAAGCCACTTCCGTTTCCCCTTATTTGTAACAGTGCATAGGAAACATAAAATTTTAAGTTCACTATGAAAATATATAGCTTTTCGGTCGTGTCGCCGCCTTGCCCCCAAAACGCCATCCGCACATCATCTAGATTCTAGAACTTTGACTATTTATAAGCACGCGCCCCTTTAAAACATATTTCCTGAGGGCTTGTTGCTGCACCGTGAAAATCGCCAGAGCGAGATATATGCAACAGATGCCCCATCCACATAGCCATATGCAACTGCAACAGATTTTCTATTTTCGTTGGCGCTCTCGAAGCGTGACAATTATAAGAGATTATCCAAGACTCAAAGTCGCGACGCGTGGGCGACCACAAACGGTGCCGCCTACACCCCAAAAACCACCCATTCCTCAACCCCCCTCCTGCTTTGAAAGGGAAGTTGTTGGTTCGATAGACAGAATATAAATATAAATAACTAAGAATGGGCCGAGCCTCAAGTTCATGACTCAAACACATAATTCTCCTTGCTTTTGGCACGTGCAAAAATCGAACTTTTGGTCTTGTGTCAAGGCAACTTGCATAAGAGAGTTCCACGGCCTGGTGACGTCAGCGGATGCTGAAATATATACGTCGAGATTTATAGCATCAACAAATGGGGATCGTTTGGCCCGAGCAGAGCGATGCTCAAAAGTGCATTCGCATTTCAATTAAAAACAGAAACCGCGAAAAGAGATGGAAAGAGGAGACGAATATGGCGAAGTTGACCTAGGCGCAAACCGAATATGGAATACACTACCATTATAAACGGAAAAATAGCATTGAAAAGTATTAAGTAAAGGTGTACTGAAACATCAGTTTCTAATAAATATAATTAAGCTTTTTTGAATTGGGGAAATTCGACAAGGCATGTTTAATAATTCAAACTTTCTAAATCAATCCTTACCTAATCTTAGACAATATACGCAAAAATATTGGAATTTACTTTGTTAAACTAACATTAGAATCTGTTCCTAAAACTCTAGTTCTCACATTTTGTAAAGAGTTTTGTTTCCGCCCTAAAGAACCCATTCCTGTTTTTATAAACCCTATTTTCTCTGTGTAAAAGTACATCTCATAGACAAACCCATTCCACCAGCTGTGATGCCCCTGATTTATATAAAGTCCGCCAAAAGTGTCTCCAACTCTGCGGCCAGCTGTTTATTTATGTGAAGCGCCTGCAACACCGCGTGTTGCTGAGGTCGGCAAATGTTGCTGGCGTCGCAGTTTGGCAGTGGCAGCTCCAACTGCGTCTACCTTTTTTGGCACACTTATGCAACCGCCGGTGGCAGTAAGTGGATGTTTTTCATGCCCCAAAAGTGGACATAATTGCACATGTGTGGGGGCTACACCCAGTCGTGGTCCCAATTCCCATTAGCCAGGAAATGGGCGCTCTTTGAAGTCGGTTAACTGATTGACTGATGGGCGGGCGGTTGAGATTTCAATTTGAAAATGGGAAATTGGCAGCCGTTCTGGCGGAGAGTGAATAATGTCCATAGGCAGTCGAGGGTTCAGCAACATTTGAGTAAATCAGCCGTGGAGGCAAGTAGACAACTGCAATCCAGCAAAAGCGAGGGAGTCGGAACAGAATCGTGGCCTTTGTTGATGGCAGCAGCAGCAACAGCAACAGCCACAAACAACAACACCCACACTCGGTCCAAAACTGGAGTGCAACTATTTTTGCTGCGGGAGCTTTGGGGCTGCCGATGTTGCTGTCGGGTGTTGCTGCCGATGTTGCTGCCGGGTGTTGCTGCCGTTCAGTTGGGCACGAGAAGCCGGCGCGAGAAGTTCACACGAAGTCGGGAGTTGGTGCGTGATGTGCTTTTGAAAATACACACAAGTGAATAAATCCGAAATAAACCGCCTCACGATGAGCAAGAAAATGTGGCATAAGATTTTCAAATCCAAGTCGCAGAAGGCGCCGCCGCTAACCAAAATCAACAAGCGACATAGTCGCATAGTCTACGAGGAGTACCAGCAACTAAACGATCTGCTGGACGGCGAAAAAGAGCAGCTGAATTTCAGCAACGAAAAGGAAAATGAGCATGAAAATGGAAACGGCCCTGCCTGTGGAAATGGAAATGGCAACATTAACGTTTTCGAACAGCAGCCCCTGCAAAGTTCTTTCAACTCGTTGGAGTTTAGTGAAGCGCATCAGCAGCAGCAACAGCAGCAGCAGCAACATCAGCCAAAACAACAGCAGCAACAGCTGTCAACGTTTTCGCGCGTTCGCAACACATTTTCCATTAGACGCAGCAGCAACAACAGCAAGAAGCTGGCCAATGCCAAGTCAAGTGAGTCGGATGCTGCATCATCAACAGCAGCAACAATTGCAACTGCAACATCAGCAACTGCAACAGCGGCAGCATTAGCAACATTAACAGACAATAAGCCCGGCAATCAACTGCAACGCGTCTTGATCGTTGTCAATACGATCAATGCGGCTACTAACTGTCCAACTAACCATTTGCATGCCAATCTTACAGCAACGCCAGCAATTAAATCAAGTAATTTCCAATGCAAATTAACTGCTAATTTCTGCTAAGTGAACCGTTTTCGTTTCCATCCAAATTACTCCTTGGTGAAAGCTCTGGGGGAAATCTCGGCTGCTGTCCACATCTGCTCCAATTGTTTTAATATGTCTAAATGGTGACCCCTTGGTTGAATCTCTCTGCTTATCAATTCCCAGCTAGAAGATGATGTCACCTTCGGTGGTTTTCAATGAAATCGAGAATAAGAGTTTTGTTTAATGCGTAGATGTTTTGTTACTTAAATAAAATAATGATTTCATAAAAGGTTGAATAGATTATTACTAGTGTTTTCTAAAATATATATTTTTTTTATTGGCAATATTGGTTGAAGTTCCCTTAGAAATGATAGTAGTTTGAATGACAAAAGAGCAAGGGTATGTCCTAAGTTCGGGGACAAACGACAGATAATTCTAAAATAATTTTATTATGAATCATTAGAAATGATTATGTTCGAGTTCATATACAAGTTTATATGACAAATACAAAAATATACATACACGAACTGAAAATTCATCTGAGTTTTTGATATTTTTATAGCTTTTGGGAGCGATAAGAAAGAACTGGTTGCTTATTTATTATACAAATATTTCGAGCTAATGAGCTTATTCATATTTGAGATGTTATCATTGAACGAAACATTTTTTTAAAACTTCAAAATGTTGTACATATTACAATAAACGGAAGGACGAAGTAAATTTTATTCAGAAGGCTGTGTTTTAGTACCTTAAATGTTAATAATAATAATGTAACAAAAGAGTATTTAAAAATGTCTTAAGAGAATTATTTCCTAGATTTAAAACTTACAAGTTTAATTTTAAATCTCAGTTGGCTTAGTTTTTTCCCAAGTGCAAGCAGGTCTGGTTCCCAGCTTACCCGTTCCAAGGTGCCAAGTCCTCGGTTTTAGTTTCCATGGCCATTCTTCTCGGGTGTCAAAGAGGTGAGAGTTCAAAGCGTAGCCAAGAACATGAAAACTTCTCGTCTGGGAACAGGGAAACTGTTTGTATTTCGCTTTTACCATGTTGCACACAAGACCACATTTATGGGCCCGCTGAAGACTTAAGTGGCTTATGGAGGTTGCCCAACGGACGGCCACAAAGCCAACAAAAATATGGAAATGCCTAAGACTAGACACCAACTAACAAAACACATGGATGGGCCAGGGATTGGGCAAGCAGGAAAGCCATATTTGACTAGATTTAAAGTGGCATTCATCACACGCCTGAATGGCTTTCAACTTTTGATCTAGTAAACTCTTGACCATTTGAAAGTCCCATGACTTCGGATCTCGAGATCTGCTAAAGATCTGATGGAGACCCCGCTGTTGTTATTTTTAAATACACATACATCTCAAGTGGATGCACATAATGCATGTGCATATCTCATATTCGGAGCATCATTAGCACAAGACAGATGGACGGATAGTGCAACTCACCCACTTCTCATCGCCGGGGATTATGTCTGTCTATAAACAGTATGCGTAACTCACTACTTTGCATTGATTTGAATGGCAATGAGACAGGGCTCTCAGTACCAAGATATTGCGCAAATTCTGGTCCTCTTTTGCCCTGTGCGTGTCGCTGATTGATGTAATCGCGATCTGACTGCCAGTTCGCGGGTGCTTCTGGCCCGCCATTATAATTGGATCTCCTCGTCTCTGTGATTAGTGGCCGCCTCCATTGATGGTTTTATGCGCTCCATGGGCGCTTCGTCTAATTATTATTCCTCGATACCCACACAATGTAGCGGAAGATTGTTTTTTGTAGCACAGTTAAAAAATAGTTAAACTTTTAAAATCACAATTAAAGCGCAAAAACCATTGCGAAGTACAGTTAACTCGATAACGATAGGCAAAGTCAGAAACATGGTGTTTTTCAGTGTTTGAAAGCGGTTACATAAGGTAATTTCAAAAATTTAATTTTGACCAGATAACTAATAGACCTAAACAAAGTTGAGAAATCCGATAATATAGAACATAATAATAATGAACAAAAGAAAAAAAAACCTTTCCTTACATTGTATGGAGCCTGTGTGTTTGGAAAGTCTATATATTGGGACACAAACATTCTCCAATTATTTTTACTAAATAATAGTTTATTTTGGTGATTGAACTTTAATCAAAAGAGTTTTAAGCCAAGCTTAAGTCAGCTTTTGTCTGTAACTGTCGACTTAAGGTTTTGCACTATAAATTTTTTTTAATGTAATCAAAAAATCTTCGACAGAATGATTCAAATGTAAATTCAAATTAAATGTTTTCTTTGCAATTAGGGCCAATTCGATTATTTTTATCATTTTATTGCTTCATTTTTGCAAGTTTAAGCACCTAGCTTTCTAATAGTATATTACTTTTCGTTTTAAAAACTAATTACCAAGTATGAAGAAAAAAATTCCTATAACTTTTCATTCAATCGAGTTTTTTGTTGTTTAGATTGTTCAAATAAATCATTTTTAGACTGGCTTTTCAATTGGCAATTTTATTACGAATACAATTTTGACTGAATAACTGATGTTTATTTTGGGTGAAAGTTGAAGAAATATGATTAATAGCTAATTAAAAACACTATAATTGTTTCTCCCAATAAGCCTTATTTATCTAGAATTATCTGAAACCTTCACTAATGCCTGATCCTTAAATACACACGCTGACCAACATTAACAGGATATTGATTATTTCCCTTAGCCATTTAAACTTAGAAAGATATTTAAGATCGCAAATTAACGAAAAACAAGAACAATAGGAAAAGAGATCAAAAATCAAGTGCTGGAACGTGGGCAGAGCCACCTGCCATCCGTGAGATACAAGATATTCGCTCATCGAGATACAATTCCCGCCCACGAGCAAAAAATCTGAGAGTTTTGGTACAGACCTGTTGCCCAATTTGTACAAAACTACATTTCATCAGTCTGCGACCAGCAAATAAATAATATATATATATTAATAGGCTGATCGCCAAAGAAGAAGTTAATAGCTATAAATTATTTGGGGCTGCTCCATTGTCTCTGGGTTTTTGGGGAATTTATTTGGTGGGCCAGACAATTTGTCGCCCAAAAAGCACAATCGACCATGAATCTTGCCACAAGCTATTTTCACTTGGCTGCCAGCCATTTCCACTGGGAAAGTGACTGGGATTTTCCTATCGCCGAACTTTCCCTGTAGATACCAAGCCCTTTTGATCTAGATATGGGAATCACGGGGTTACCAGTTACACAGAAAGAAACATTGTTATGAAAAGGCGATCAATTTGAAAATTCATGCATATATTTAAATATACTTTCTATAAAGAAAGTAAGTTTATCCCTGCAGTTATACAAAAATAGTATATTTTATTAAACGACTTTTATCGATATGAACTTAAGTTGCAGGTTTAGTGTTGTCTATAATACCCGATTCCAAAAACACATGTAGAACACATCATAATTTTACTATATTGTTAAATATTTCATTTTATATTTAAATTGTACTAATTAAGCTTGAAGTATATACAAATTTAGTTTAAACGCATACTTATTGTGGTGCTCTACGGTCTAGTCCACAATACTATCTTATGAATACTATTCCTAACTTATCAAAAGCTATATGAAAAATTAGCAATATCCCTTTTATTTGATATCGATATACTTTATTTTTTCTGAGCTGGGTAATATCTTTGAATTTTGTAACGACTCCCAGTTTGCTGCTCCTGTCCGTTCTGTTGTTGTTTCGTTAAATTAGAGAAATACTTTTATTTTTTACGTCTCACCTCATCTAACAAACATTGCCAAAGTGCTCGCAGCTAACTGAATCCCCATCAGAAATTCGGTTCTCAATTTTCGCCTCCATCTCGTCGACACAGCAGCGATCGGCACCACGGATCCCGAGGCGGAAGACCCGATGCGGGGCGCGGATGGGGATCCGCTGCCCCCGCCGCCACTGACCTCCGACTCCACCATTCCGGTGCCGGAGTTCGTGCCCGACCAGGACACCCAGCTGACCCCCTGTCCCTGCTGCAGCCGCACCTTCATCACCAGTGCCCTGCGCAAGCACGTCATCATCTGCGAGAAGTCCTCCAAGAAGCGCAAGATCTTCGACTCCTCTCGCCAGCGCCGCGATGGAACCGCTCTCTCCACGTACGTGCTGCCCAAGAACTTCGGCCTTCCCAATGCGGAACGCACGGCGGGATTGCCGTCTCCTCCGATCACCAGTCGCGAGGCTACGACCACTGCAATGGCTGCCGCTGCTCCTCCAGAGGTGAGTTCGTCCACTAAATAGAGGGTTTATATACTATCCATTTTAAAAGACTGCAAAATTTTTAAAATCTTGTGTTTTATAAATTATCATCAAGAATAAATTAAATGAATATATTTTACTTACACTTGCCTGATAAAAAGAAAGAAAACTGGTTATTGTCGAATCCTTATTAATCTGTCTTTTTCGATTTTTATAAAATAATGTACTTTAAATATAATAAATATATAAAAATAAATGATTTATCATAAATAAAATTTAGCAATAGAAAAATTAAAAAAATTTGTATGAACCACAATTTTAAACAGAGTTTATAATTTAAGTGAGAACATTTTTTAAACTAGAGTCGGTATATTTTTGGACTAAGTTTTGATTTAATAAGATTAATGACATTAAACAGAATTTTAAAAGATGTCTTCTATATTATCTCTATTTATCCTACAGATAAGTTGCTTTAGCTTTATAGCCTCTTCATATTATAAGAACTTTATCTGTAGATTTATCTCTAGATTTACTGCGATTACTAAGTGTTTTTCCCACCGTTCTCAGCCAGTGAACTCGCCTGCGCCAGTGCGTCGAAAGTCGCAAACCGAGATGGTTCGCTCCACCGCCCGAGCCTCTCTGCGCAAGGCGGCGTCCACACTCTCCTCTGGTTCGGCCGCCGAGGCGCCACCCGGTGGGGCACCTGCTGCTCCGGCGGCTCCGCTCGTGCGTGAACGATCGCTGGCCAAGCGGATCAAGGCACCGGCCGGCGGTCGCTGCCCCCACTGCGATCGCTCCTTCAACCCGAAGGCCTTTGACCGGCATGTGGAGTGGTGCAAGGAGAAGGCCATCCAGAACAACATGAAGTCCACCAACAGCCAGGAGACGAGCAAGGCGAAGGAGCGCCTGGAGGCGAGGAAGCAGTACAGGCCCCCGAATCTCAAGTAAGCCAGGATTTAGCTGCCACTTCGAGTTCACCCTTCACACACTCGTCTTTTAGTCCACACACTTATCGTTTTATTTGCCGTTCTGTTCGCTTTCTTTTCTTTTCGTAACTTACACTTGTTTGCAATGTTTGCCAGGACGAAGAGATCGCTGGCCCGGGACAAGTACTCTGGAAACCACGAGGAGCTGCTGGAAGCGGGTGAGATGACGGCACCCAAGCCGAATATGATGTCCCTTTCGATGACGTCGTCCGTGCACAGTGATAAGTGAGTATGGGGGTCACCAATCCCATAGATCTCTACTATGTAGTTAGTCCCAACCCCCGATGCTCTTCTGGCGTTGCTTTGGTCGTCGTTGATTTATCCTGTAACCCGTATCTGTAACCATTTGGTAACCATAGCCACCGTCGTGTAGTTTCAACACACTGTAGTTAGTCCTCCGATCAGCGATCCTCACTCATCCCAGAAATGATCCTCAGCACTCAAGCTCAAGTGGTGCGACCAAGAACCTCGGCGGGAGCAGGAAGTCGCGGGAGGACAGCGGCCACCAAGAACCAGGTCTACATGGCCCATGATGAGGATCCGCCATCCTCACCGCCTCCCAGGGACCGTGATGCAGTGCGTCGGTCCAAGCGCAAGCAGCAGGAATCCTGCAGCGAGATCGACGACACTATGGAGCGACTGAGGCGCAACGCTGGTGGAGATTCCCTCCAGTTGGCCAAGCTCGATTGCGCGGAGGCGCCAGTGCTCCAGCCGGCCAGTCGCCGCAAGACCGCAGCCAAGCGGGACAAGGTGGATGCGGGCGACAAGGAGATCTGTCTGCCCAACCATCCCCAAGTAACCATGACATTCGACGAGCTCAATGGCCTGATCAAGCGCAAAGGTATGGGATGAACTCCTGGGTTTTGGTTAGGCAATCTTTTCGGGAACTTCCACTGATCGTGGCATGCAGGTCTCCAATTAACTTGAGATTTTACAACTTAAAACCTCTAAGAACCCGGAACCATTTTATGATCGTTAATTAGTGCGCGTGTAGTATTTAATGCATCGAGGCATTCGGAAGATCAGCCAAGCATTACCAGTGCCAGTGCATCCATTGGTTATTTAATATGGTCAGGAGTCTTAAAAGGAGAAGTCGAGTGTATCGAAAAAGAAATTTTAGAAAAAGGGTTTTGTAAATAAATTATTTGTATAGGGGGAAGATATGCAAATTTGAATATAATTGAGTTATAGAGAATTAAAAAAAAAATATTTTGTAGTCGTAATTTTTTTTTTTTTTTTTAGTTTTGTTTGTTGGCGACCTTTCATGAATGTTTTATTTTGAATCCGGCTCGAGGTCAATAATTGAAAAATTTTTTTAGTTGATAAGAATCATTATTTATTTTATTTCGAAATATTTCCTTTTTTAAAGATTGTATAAAATGGTATAAGACTTATCCAGAATAAAAATGAAAAATATTCTAGTTTAAGTAGTCTCAGAATTTGTAAATGCTATAAAGACGAGGGTAAGCCGAATAGATAGATAATATCTACATCTATAAGATAGCAAGAATGATAATAGATGATACCTATATTAGACATCTTAGCTCAAAATAAACCCAAACAAGTATTTTAGGGCGTTTTTAAGATAAATTCAGCTAACCCAAGTCCCCACCTCCCATCATCTCCATGCTGCTCCACCTCAGGCGGCACTCCCATTTGCAATGTGGAAATGGATGAGCAGGAAATCGCTAACTTGACTTCCAAGTGCTCATCCACATCTCTAGTGCGTCAGGCGAGGCGTCGCATTCGCACCAGGGAGAATCCTAATCTGGAGTTGCGAGCTCTGCCGCCGGGTTCGGTGATCTCCAAGGACGTGCACTTTGCCTCCCTGGACTCCAGTTTGGCGCCCCTGCAGGGAATGCAGTACAAAGCCTACTCTGGATCGGATGAGGATTCGCCAAGGGCAGAGATCCAGATAAAAATGGAGGCCACAACGATGCGCACAGTGTCCCGCCCCACGAAGAGATCAGGTCAGGTGATGAGCAGCTCGGAACCGATGCGTGCCTTGCCCATGTCCGGACTGAAGCAAAGTTTGGAGGCCATTAACCAGTCGATGGGACAGACGGTGCTCCCGAGATTGAAGCTGGGCAACGAGAGGCAGGACTACGAACCGGATGCAGATGAGCCGGACAATTATACCAGCGACCTGAACGACGAAGCGGAGGAGGAGGACCTCATGAGTCGCGCGGCCAAGCTAATCGAGCGGGCTCAGTGTAGTCCCAATCCCGGCCTGCTGGATGAGCCAAGTGAGGAGGAAGAGGAGGAGGGGACGGTGCTGAAACTACCTCCTTTGACCAAACAGAACAGTAACGTCAGTCGCCGTTTGGTGCTCCTGGAACAGGATGAGAACGGCACCATGTACATTAAGTCGGCCCCCAGTGCCAAGCGCCGTTCGAATAGGTTTGTATCCCAGATCAGAGCCATGTAATCCAAACCAATCCTCCCCAGACGACAGCCAGACAGAGCACAGATGGGCGGTTAATCATAGATGTACTAACCACACAGCCACTTTCCTAACCCTTTGCAATCTCTTTTTTAACAGCGGCCTGGGGGACAAGTACGATCCCTTCCTCTCGGCCAAGCGTCAGCTGGAGGAGCTCTGCTCGCCCAACACGCCGCCGCCAGAGGAGGAGGTGACCACCACCACCCCCAGCATCAGAAACTTGACACCTATATCTACAACCACACCGACCGCCACACCCAGTATCGCCATGACCACCTCATTGACCACGGCGTTCGGTAAGCCGGCCCAAGTCGCCCAGAAGACCACGCCCACCTCCAATTTCCGACGCACTTCGTCGCTGCGAGGACCGCGTCGCACGCCCATGCTGAACAGTCGCCCGCTGTTCGCCACCAACTACCGCCCCACCATCCAGCGGGGTCTCTCCGACGAGGGCCCCATCTCCACGAACTTCCTCAAGCCGGAGGAGTTCGACGAGATGCCGGTGCGGGCTGCCTGCGGCAACGACTTCCACAGTCCGCGGGTGGTGCGTCGGGATGCCAGTGCCTCCAACCGCAAGCAGCTGCTCAAGTTGCCCGTGGGCGGGACCAGTGAGGCCGGCAACGCATCCCAAGCCGGACGCAGTGTGGCCAAAACGGACTCGCTGGCCGTGTTCCTCAAGTACGAGCACGAACTGGAGCAGCTGAATGCCAAGGCGGCGGAGCTGGCAGCCGCCAGTCAGTTGACCAGCAAGGAGCAGAAGGACAAGAGCAACACGCTGAGCAAGCAGAACTCGGCCAAGAGCCTGGGGCAGAGTACTCCGACCCAGCTGCCGCCATTGACTCCCACGGCAGTGCCGCCATCGCCAGGTGCGGTGAAGGAGGTGGGCTACCCGCCGGTGGCCACGCCCCTGCGATTGGAACCCATCAGCAAGCCGGCGATGAACCCACCCACACCCCACACACCCATTAAACTGGAGAGCATCTTTGGTCCCAGGAGGGAAACGGGATTGGGTTTGGGTTCGGGATCAAGTTCAGTGGCCAGCGATTTCATAGATCCCAAGCTGATAAACGCCTGCGACAATCTGCATGTCAGCAGCGGCATCTCCTCGGACGCCAGCTCCACGCCCCAGCAGCAGTTGTCCCAGAGCCGGAGCCGGAGTAGCTCCCAGTCCACCATCACCCACGAGCGGAGGCAGTCGGGCGAGGCCAGGAACCTGCTGAAGAGGAAGATGCGACTGGGACGCAACCAGTTTCTGTACGATGCCTCGCCAGAGGACGCGGACGCCTCCTCGGGCTGCTCGGCGGACGACGAGGCCAATCGCTCGTCCATGGAGTACGACGAGCAGTGCTGGCAGCAGCAGCAGAAGCAGCTGCTGGCCAATCCGCTGCCCCTGGTCATGCCCATGGTGCACAGCGCCATGCCCACCTTCGACGACTTTGACTTCGAGGAGTTCCTCTCCTCATTCGAAAACGAGAATGACGACGAGCAGTTCCCGCTGTTCAAGGACTGTCGCGAGTTCCTCCTGAATCGGTCGACGAGCAGGCAACGCTCGTTCCAGAAAGCGACTTCTTCGACGACACAGACGACAGCCACACAGATCACCACCCTGCACAGCCACCAGTCCAAGGTTAAAGACAGTCACGCCCACAGGTCGGAGTCCAAGATGCCGGAGGAGCGACTGCAGCGGCAGCAGTCGAACGCCTCGATTGCCAGCAGCCAGGAGGAGAAGGAGAAGGATGGACGCCGGGAGGTGGAGAAGCGGACGCCCGCCGAGGATCAGCCGAAGCGGGAGATCTTCATCAGCATCGAGACGGAGGCCAATGCCCAGGGACGCTCGCCCATCTCGCCCGAGTCGCTGCGCCACATGGTCGGCAATGCCCAGACGCCCATCGATGTGCTGCACATCGAGAACGGGAACGAGCCGGAGCACGCCAGGTTCAGCAAGATCAGCGACACGGAGGATGCCGCCGACGAGCCCGGGGATCGGGCCAGCCAAGCCACCAGCCGACTGGCCCCATCCTCGGGTGGCTCCGCATTGGCGCCCAACGTGCAGCTGAACAACGCCAAGAATATGATCCAGCGGATTCACGGCGACTACCGGCAGCTGGGCGAGGAAGCCGGTGCCTCCGTGCGGCGCATGATCATCGTGGGTAACGGCGGCAGGGGCGAGGAGCAGCTGCAGCAGCCGAGCAGGGATCCCAATCCGGTGGGTCAGGGTCAGCAGCAGCATGCGGTGAAGGCCAACTCCCCATTGACGCCCTCGCCGTCGGCGGACTCGGATGAGCTGAGCAGCCTGGACGGCTACCCGATGTCCTCGTCGCAGGGATCTCGTCGCGGAGCCAGCTCCAAGCTGAGCTCGGATTCGGCATACGGCAGGTGGGATCACCTTGGAATGATTACACAAAATAAAAATATTAAATGGTCTCCTATTTGATTTACAGCAGCAACTCACCTTACAGCTTGTCGCGTCAGCGCTCCACCGAACTCCAGCCGGGCACGCCCCGATCCCAGGGACTCCTGCGTCCGCACACGGCCAGTGCCAAGTTACCCGGCTCCATGTCGGATGCCTCCACGCAGGCGCAAACCAAGTACGGGACCCTCAAGGCGCGCCAGCGGCTCTTCGCCCCAGATTGTGGCAGCAATAACGGCAACGAAGATGGGGCCGAGTCGTGCAGCAGTGGGTCGGATAACTCCCTTGCCGCGCAGCCGAAACAGCAACAGCAGCCGAGCAGCAACTACAACTACCAGCAGCAGCAGGCCCAGGCCCAATCCCAATCCCAACCAGCTTACAGCACTAACAACAACAATGTACCGATGACACCCACCACATCGCAGCACTCCCTGCTGAGCAACTCGTCCATGAGCTCAAGTATGAAGATGTCGAAGTTCTGCCACGAATGTGGCGCCAAGTTCATCATCGAGCACGCCAAGTTCTGCATGGATTGCGGAGTGAAGCGGGTGGTGCTCTAGACTAACCCCACGTAGCCATTGATTTCAGAAGCTCACACTCACAGAACACAGAAAACGCAACACCCTGAACACCAAAACACTCGCCCCGAATCCGAATCAGACGACTCCGCCGATGAACCCTGGCTGGATCGGTCTTGGGGTCTAAAATATACCAAATGTAGTTGTTTAACGCAAGCAGTTTACGCATAGCGCTAACATCGCCCATATACAGAATAATAATATATATTTTAATACAAACCAAAACAAGCGAGACAAAGGTTTTGAGTCGAGCGAACTTTAATTAATCGAACTAAACTTGGTATTTCTTTCGTAAACATATTTCTCATCTTCGATTGCTTAAAAAAAACGAAAAACGAACAAAAAGCAACTTAACTTAAACAAACACTTTAACAAAGTTGTTGATTAACAAAGACTGAACGAATTTAAACGATAGAGCGTTGAAAAAAAAATGGATTATGTAATGTGACGAGAGCGAAACTATTTTTAAACATTTTTCAAAACCTAACGCAGCAACTCCATTGTATTTGTATTTTGTAATCGTTTTACTAATTATATAGACACTGCTTAAATATAAATATATGATAATGCATACACATCGATTTGAATCACCGATTTGGTTGGATATAAAACTTTAAAACGTCGAAGTTGAATTAACATTCATGAGAACTCACACGTTTGGATTTGACTGGTCCATTTCTTAAACAAATCTTATTTCAAATGATTTTCTTTCTTCATTCGCAGGCCATTAAATGGATTATCAAGAGTATTCTTCTTCGTAACGTAGTCTTAGACTGCATTAAACAAGTATTGTTATCAGAAGCTTATATAAAAAAATACAAAAACTTATACAAATAGCGACGGCTCAGAATTTTTAGTTCAGTATGAGCAGCTATGAAGTTAGGACTTCTTTCATGACATCTCTTCTAGAGAATTATGTACTTTGAACTTTTCGGGTCTGTCTTTGCTCACTTAATCTACGGCTTATACCTACCTAACAAACATGTCCTGTAGTTTCAGTTTGGATTTGTTTTTAACAGCTTGCCCAGCTTTGATGAAATTTTAGTGGACGAAAATCTTGGGGATTTCTTTATAGACAACTGGGCCAGTGATTTATTTATAGCTTCGTTGAGTTCCTCTTCCGATGCGGTGAGGCGCTTCTCCTCTTTTTCCCTGGTCACACTTATGTCCTGGGGCATCTTGGCATACCAGGGAGTGAGCTCGTCGTCCTCCAGCTCACTGCTCGACTCCTCATCGGAGTCTTCTTCCTCCACGTCGGGCAGGAATATCGGCCCGTCCTGGGAGTTCTTCTTCTTGAAGAGATATGTTCCTTGAAGCTTGCAGCTATTGATAATTGTCTTGAAGTCCCGGTGATGGCGCAGGGTGACTGGATTGCCAACCAGGATCAGTAGGGACTTGGCCCGTGAAAGGAGGACATTTACCCGGCGGGGATTGCGCATGAAGCCCATGTTGGCAAAGGAGCGCACCAGACTTGCAATGATGATTGGCTTCTCGCGGCCCTGGTAGGTCTCCACGCTGCCCACCTCGACGTTGGGGTGGCCCTGGCTTTGGAGCAGTTGGGTAACAAGTTTACCTTGAGCGGTATACGGAGCAACTATGCCGATGTCCTCCTGGCTGACTGTCCTCCCTTTTCCGAGGCCATCGTTCAACAGTCGCTTTACGTACCAGCAAAGCACATTTGCCTCCAGCTGATTGTAGGAGCTGGTGGAGTTCTGCTCCCTTTTGGTCACTCCATGGGTGGCCTGAAAGATGATCGGGAACAAGGGATTGGGCAGCAGGCTCCAGTTGGCGGCTAAGTTCACCTCCTCATCCGGAGCCCGAGGGATCAGCTCTCCGTTGTAGTAGAGTTCGTTGAAGACGCCCACAATCTGCGGATGGGATCGATAGTTCCGACGCAGACGCGTCTGCAGGGTACGATCATAGTTTCCGTTTTCGTCCAACTTGTAGCAATCGGAGCGCAGGAGCCGCTCCATCAGAGACTGGCTGAGCCCCAAAGAGGCAGCTCGATTGCTCTTGATCACGGCGCCCAGCTGCTTGTGATCACCGGACAGGATCACGTGACAATCTGCAGTCTGCTTGACCCCCATGATGCCGATCAAAGCCTCCGGTTCGGTGGAAGCGCCCGCCTCGTCGATAAAGATGTGGCTGAAGAAGTTGTGCTTGCCGAGGTCATCGGTGACCAGACGGCCCACGGTGCAGAGAGTGGCTACTGTGATGCCATACTGGAGTATGTGTGAAACTCCAAGATGCTCGTAGACCTGTTTCGAGCAGTTGGAATTCTTCAGCAGCAGTGCCGGCACGGACTTGAGTCCCTTGTGGTGGATGGAGCGCGAAAAAACACGGATCAGCTGGTGATCCGACTTCGGCTGCTCCTGATGGGCAAAGTGATCCTTGAGTCGGGCATTGCTGTGGATGTACTCGCACAGTTTCAAGGCAATCGTGTCGCAGGCCGAGTTCGAACCGGCGGTTACAAGGATGCGGCTTCCGGGTTGCTGAAGGCGCAGCTGTAAAATGGCCTCCACAATGGTAGTGGTTTTGCCAGTGCCTGCAGGGTAAAAGACAAGTTAATAGGCATACAAAACTTTAAAGACGGTCTGTTTATAGAATTCGTAATTCTTTAATTGTTTTAAGGCCGACTAACGCACATGAAATTTCTGTAATTCCTGTTGTTCTTTCAAAAATTGTACATATTTTTCTGGAATAATGTACAATTCTTAAAAATACTTAATAATTCCAAATATTTGTTGATTTATTTAATAAATAAAAATGATTAAATATAACACCCCTCAAACTTACTATAAACAATTATCAGTTCCATAAAACTGTAAACACCCTTTATATTGGTAAGAAGTTTTTCAATAATTTGTATATGCAATTTGTGTTTTGGAGACCAAAGAATATTTTACATAATCTCAAAGATGCAGACAGAAATGGGATTGTACACACTAATTGATTACCTGGTGGTCCGAACACAATGTAAGGTCCCTGGGGACTTGGTCCTGCGACAATTCTCTGCACCGCCTGCAACTGCTCCGCGTTGGAATAGATGGTGGAATTTAGCAGGCAGATTGCAGCCGGAGGAGCAGGCTCCGGAGGTGGCTTCACCTGCAACCAGCTGGGCAGGATTGCGCAGTCGCGCAGCTCGATCATCGACCGGTCCACCATCTGGGTCAACCAGCCGGGGAACGGGAACAGGTAGCGGCGTATCAAGGGGCTCTCCTGGAGCAGCTTTAGAGCGCGGTACATGTAGCGGAAGGGAGTGCGCCTGGAGCGGATTATAGCACAGAATCGCTGACTCAGCAACTCCTCATCGCCGGGGGTGCTTCCACGGCTGAACCGAATGTGGACTGTGGTGCGACTTACCTGCTCCACACTTGCCACATGCCGACGCATGGGATCCTTCAATTGGAGGCCCTCGTGGGCATGTGGGAGCAGAGCCAGCAAAAGTTGCTTAGGCAGCGGAGAGGACAGCAAGCTGGACTTGGGCACCAGCACCACCTCGTCCAAGTTGGGGGCCACCACGTCCTCGGCGTTCACGCCCTTGGTGTTCAGGGCTATTTTGTATCTGAGCTTGGAAACCCGCTGCACAGCCACATCGGGCTGGATCAGTTGGGCGTAGAGCTGCATTGTGCTTATGTCCTCGATGCTCAGCAGAATTTGCATCACGGTGCATACGTTGTAGAACTCCAATCGCCTGGTGGTCAGGTACTCCGCGAATACCGCATTAGTGGTCAAATCTGAATCCGTAAATTCGGTGGTTAATGCTTTCATCATTTCAGGAGTGGGTGGAGAATACGGTAGGTTGCGCATCAACGCCAAAAGTCTGGGGAGGATTGGCGTAAGGCTAAGATCGAGGAGAGATACAAAATAACTCACTTTTTCTGTTTTTCCAAAGGGTCATAAGGTTTGGCTTTCGGGTCGTCATTGGCCACTGCTTTTGGGCCCAAAAGAAAGCTAGTGTTCTTCTGTTTTAGCCAATGATCCGCGTTGCAAGCTATTTGCGACAACTGACGATCCAACTGAAAACTTTTATGTTACATCCTGGTACCACAAATAACCGCCTTAAATTACTCACCAATTCCAAGTTCTCGGTGCCGTACATTGTTTGCTTGCTAAGAGAAATTCATACAAGTTAAATCACATTAATTAAGACAAGAACTAAGAATGAGCGAGTTTTCCTAGAATAACAAACTTTAAGTTCCGTTGCTTTTCCAGGGGTGGGCCAAACTTGTCCATTCTTGCGCGGGCAACATCGATTTCAATTGATCGATATATTTTCGATAGTTACTTAATTGGGAATCACTGATACGAAAAAGAACACTCTGCAATACTGGTTTTGTGCCATCTCTGACTCGTAAGTTTGTTTACAAAAAAGGGACCTGGCGGAAATGGGCGATTCGGATTCAAACGAGGTCCTCATAGAGGAAATAGACAGCAACGACGTGCCGGAGAACGAGCTGGAGCAGTTCCAGGAGACGGAGCCACTGCGTGTTGTGGACATCATCGACTGCGACGCAGATGGCGAGCGTCGGACCTTCGAGGCGGACGAGGAGGAAGGAGCTCTCATAAAGCGCTATGTGCAGGGCGTCCAATGTCTGGAGTTCCCGGACTTCTGCACCAAGCTGGAGGCCAGCGACGAGGATGAGGAGGGCAACGAAGACGAGCTCGTGGAGGCGTCAGGAGCCACCAACGTTGAACAGCCTCGTACTTCGACACAGGCGAGGCCACCACAGGAGCAGCCTTCAGGAAGTGGTCGTTCCACAGGCGGCGGCTTCCGAAAGAGCCAGCTGAGCACCGCCCTGCAGGGACTGATGGGCGAGGCCAACCTGAGTTTCGTCTATGGACGCTTCGAGACAGCAGAGCGCATCTGCATGGAGATCATTAGACAGAATCCGCTGGCCAGCGAACCCTTCTACACGCTGGCCGAGATCTATGAGAACCGTGACGAGGTCAAGTTCCTCAACTTCTCCACATTGGCCGCCCACTTAAATCCCCAGGATCGGGACATGTGGATCCGAGTCTCCGATCTGCTCGTGCAGCAGGGCAATCTGGCCCGTGCCCGTCTCATCTACACCAAGGCCATCAAGATGCTGCCCAAGGTCTACCAACTGCGTCTGCGGAAGGCGCAACTCCTGCAGAAAATGGGCGAAACCAATGCGTCCATGTTCACGTACCTGAAGATGCTGCCCCTAATGCCGCCGGAGGAGTGGAAGATGTGCCTGAACACGGCCAAGAACGTGGCCCGCTACTTTCACGTACTGGAGAAGCACACGCTTGCCCTGGAGGCCATGGAGGCGGCGTACAGCGTGTGTGGGGTGCGCTTCACCTTGGAGGACATCAACATCTACCTCGAACTACTGATCCTAAACAAGCAGTATGCCAAGGTCTTGAAGTGCCTGAGGGAGCGCACTAACTTCGAGCTGGAGAACGACCAGGAGGAAAGTCTCGAACTCATATTCTTCTGCGAGATCCCGGATGACTATGTCCCAGAGCTGCGAGCCAAGCTGTGTGTCAGCATTATCCACATGCGGGCGCACCACCTGCTGGGCTATCTCATCCAGAATGTTCAGGAGCACATCACTCTGACGGCGGATCGCGTGGAGCTGTACATGGACATCACGGAGGCTCTGATGCAGGAGCACAAGTACGCCGAGGCCATTGCGCTGATGAGCCCAATTACTGATGGCGACACCGTCGAATGCCCGGCGTTTGTGTGGCTGCGGCAGGCCGAGTGCCTCCGCCAGCTGAACCGCACGAACGAGGCCATCCAGAGCTATGAGAAGGTGGTGCAACTGGCGCCCTTCTGCTATGATGCGCGGTTTACCCTCTCCGCCTTGCTGAAACAGCAGGGTCGCCACGAGGAGGCCGTCCAAGCACTGGAGCAGCCGGGTGAGGCTGAGGGCCAACCGCTGATTGCCCGCCTGCTGTACGAGAGGTGTGTGATGCTGCAGCAGATTGGGCGCATAGAGGAGTTCTTGGACGTGGGCTATGCTCTGCTCAGTCGGCACTCCATCAAGCTGTACAACCGCGAGGAGATGATGGCGGCCGCAAATGGAGGCAGTGCCTACAACTCGGAGAGTCTGAAGACCATCATCCAGATGCGCAGCAAGGCGGTTGATAGTTCAGCGGAGCAGGATCTACAGGTGACTTTAATGCAGTTTTACTTGTATCCCAAATTTATTAATTTCTCAATAGGACCCTGCCAAAAATGCCGCCACTGAAGCCTCCGATCTGACCGTCAAGGACGAATTCAACCTCTTTCAGGAGCTGGTGCGAACGGCTTTTAAGCATGGCATGCACAGCGCTGCCGAGAAGATCTGTTTCGCCATGGTGACCACGAAGAGATTTACATACTACCACCACGAGATCGAGAGGATTATGGTGCTGACCTGCTACTACAACGACGACTGTGCGATAGCCTTCTCGTATCTGCGGGAACTGATCGCCAAGCAGCCCAGCCAGACAACCCTGTGGAACATGCTCTCGCTGATGATCCAAAAGGGGGATGAGGTGCGCTACTATCGCTACATGCGGCGTCTAATGCAACGCCACCCGGTGGATACCAAGCCGATGCGCATCTTCCAAGGACACTACCACCTCAACTGCGCCTCCTTCAAATATGCGTTGAACATCTACATGCCTATTCTGCGCGAGAATCCCGAGCCCCTGGTGGCTCTCTGCATAGCCGTGGCCTTCAACCAGCTGTCGCTGCAGAAGAAGGTGCTGCGTAAGTCGGCTTCTGTGGCCCAAGCCGTGGCTTTTGCCCAGCGCTACAAGGAGTTGCGGTCCGCTGGTCACGAGTTCTCGGATTGCGCCGCCCAGCAGGAGATCTTCTACAACATCGGGCGAATCTACCACCAGGCCAACATCCTGCACCTGGCAGTCGAGTACTACGAAAAAGCGCTGGCCGTGCCCGTTCACCCGTTGATTGCAGAGCACGAATCTACGCTGGGTCTGCAGCACGAGGTGGCCTTCAACCTGCACCTGATATACCGAGCCAACGGGAACAAGTGGAAGGCCCGCCAGTACCTGATGCGATACTGTGTGGTCTAATCAGTGGTATACAGATATAACATTACAAATGGTGTAAGTAGCTTTGTATTTATAAGCTCGTTCCGTACAAATAACATGAAAGTTGTATTTCATTTGTATGAATCACGCTTGACTAAAAACACTTTTTCACGACTAATTAAGGATAATCAATTATTTAAACCCCCATAAATTAAAAAGGACTCGAGGGAAAGAGAAGCACTTTTAAATGGAAAACTTTTTTTTCGAAATGACTAATTGAGAAGAAAGTTCTCGAGCTGCTTTGTCTTGGGACTACAGAGATAAGATCATTTCTTTAATGTATTGTTTCGCCTTTGTGTATATAGAAAAAAATAGTTCTTAAATTAATTAAGACTTACCAACTGCTCTTTTCCAAGACTGATCCCATTTTATTTTATAAATTGTAAAATCACTAATTCTTTTTACAAAATGTGTGTTGTTTTCTGTTGAAGAACTTTTTAGTACTGAAATCAAGAAACAGCTACCAGTCGTCTTTATACCGACAAAAAACAATAAAGGGGACTTCCATTATTTCAGTTGTCTTATCAATTGAAAATTTAATTATAGTGATGCAGGTTATATGATGTTAAAAGTTCTGTTAAATCATTTCTGTTAAAATAACCCACTGTAAAACCAGTTAATAACATTTGCAAAAAATAGCATTTGTGGCTTAGTCATGATAAAGGCCATTAGACTTCTCCAATGAAAGCCCTTCTATTAGTCACCTAATAATATTGATCTATGGGAACTGGGTTGTATTCAAAAGCTTTAGGAGATAACACGAAAAACTAACATAAGTTCTTCTAGTTTTCTTCAACTGGTCTTGTATTCACATATTATTTTAATCATTGTTAAGGAACACTAAAATTTAAAAATTTGGCGGTTACATTTGTGAGGCGTAGGAGTCGCCAATATATTGATAACAACAGAACCATTGGGGTGTTAATACAACCCAGACTTATTTTCGATTTTTTAAATAAATATGTAATTAAATTTGTTAGTTTCAAAAAACGGGTCGGATGACGGAGCACCAGAATCCCATGCAACGTTTGAAGAAATGGTTCGGACGACAATAAAATATTTATGAGTGCAACAAAACTGCATAGAGATTGTTTTTAAATACTTAGGTTTGTAGGATATATATACTAGATATTTTCATTTTACCCATCCAGAAGGCGTTATATTTTTAGTCAGAAGTTTGTAACGCAGCGGGAGACGTTTTCGACCAGTATATATATTATTGATCAGCATCCGTCTGATTTTACACCGTTTGCAAGCTCAGTTTAAAAGCTAGAGACTCAAACTTTCGCAATCGTCTTTTAATATGTGTATGCAGATCAAGCTTATTCTAAAGCTGCCATAGAAACAATCGTGTGAAGTTTTTTTTTAATTTTTTGTTTTTAAAGAAATTTGTGTATCTTTAGCTGTTTTTGTCTAATATAACGATTTAATTCCATATTTGAAACAAAAACAAATACCTTCAGTATTATTAAAATCGAATTCAACGGCTTATGACATTCCAGCATTTAACTATTATTTCCCGATATAAAAGTGGGCTTTCCCGGATCTCCGGATTTGAGCATTTCTCATAATGGGTTGGTTCATTATTTTTTGCGAAAAATCGACTCAAATGAAATTAGTTAGGTGTGAATCCCACTCGATTGGAAATTTTTATAATGAGTTTAACAGGGTTTTAGTCAAAATACCGAAATTGTTTAACGAATTCAACAAGGTATGACATTGTTGACTATATCTCTTTATTTAAGATATCAGAAGGTGGAACATTTCGAACACATAATATACGAAGGAGTTAAGGCATCTTCTCCACCCTAGAAAGCAGGGTCCTTAATTGACCACGCCCTTCAAGCACGGTTGAGCTTAATTTTAGAGCTCGGAGATCCCGACTCCGCCACTAACCTCTGAAAGGAGGTGAGGACCTGATCACGCTACAGGTGTTCAGGCACTCGTTCTCCGTGAGGAAGTTGTTGCGGTTGCCTCGACATCCTCCGTAGCTAAAGGAGCCACAGCGCTGGCTCTGCGGATCGTAGGCATACCGCATGTAGTTGCCCCTGCAGGGACCCACATCCGGCGCCTGGACACAGATGTCCCTGGCCTGCTCCGCGTTTATGTGGCAGTCGGTGGGACCGTCGCACTCCTTCTGCTGGTTCAGCTCCATGCGCCGCGTGCAGTTCTCCTTTTCGGGGCCATTCTCCAGCAGGACCAGGCGCGTTCGGATGGTCACTCCCTTGCCACAGGCCGAGATGCAAGGACTCCAGTCGCTCCACTGGGTGGTGGGGCATTGCGGATCCGGCAGCTCCACCTGCTCGTACTTGCAGTCCGGCCGCATGCACTTGTTCTTCTCCACCACCGAGATGTGGGGGCACCGCTTGCGTCCCAAGTAGTTGACAAAGGTGCGCGTGCGCATGGTGATCCCGATACCACAGCTGGCGGAGCACGCGGACCACACACTCCACGACGTGGTCTTGCACAGGCCGGCTCCCTCGCCATCGCTGCCCACCAGGGACTGCGAGTTGGCCAGGTTCTCGCCCTCATCCTCGTCGCGATCCCTTTGTTGGGAGGAGCCATCGGCGCATTCGGGTATGGAGGCCACGCACATCTCCTTGGACACTAGCTGACGGGAGCACTTGTTCTGATCCGCCGCCGCAGGATACAGATACTGGCGGCTGCGCATTCGGATTCCCTTGCCGCAACTCACGGAGCAGGGGCTCCAGGCGGAGTAGTCGCTCACCCGGCATTCGGCTGGAAGATCGATTACTGATGTGTTAGAATGCTAGACTCGCGGATTCAACATACCTCTGGTGTCCTGCTCCTCGGCATCGTCGGACACCTCCAGCTGGAGGGCCTGCAGGAAGTCATCATCGCAATTCCGGGAGACAATCTTCTCTCGTCGCAAGTGAAGCCTGGCCAGAGGGGGCATCTCGCGGCTCTGGGGATTGTAAAAGGGCGCTCTGGGATCCTCGGGATACATGGTGGTGATGCGGTACATTCTCTCCGGAGGCTGGGTTTCCGAATTGGGCGACTGCCAAGGAAACTCCGTTTAGTATTTGAAGGCCCTTACTCTATCTCTAAACTTTTACCATATATGAAATACCACTATCGGTGCCCGCATCCCAGGGATACAGATCAAAAGTCATTGACTCCTTCCAACTGCAGTCATCAGTGCAGAGATCCTGGCCACTAATGCCAACCACCCAGTCGGGGGATGGGCCGAACATGGACACCAGCGACACCTTCGGGTGCTTGCGATCCACACGGAATTTGGCGGAGGTGTTCTGGTTGACATTCGGGTACCACAGGCCAGCGGCCTTGATCAAGGTGCGCAGCTTGGGCCCGTTCGCCCGCAGCTCCGCCTCCAGAGCAGTCGGGGAACCCCACTCCGCCAGGGAACGGAATCCGGCGGTGGCCAAGTGGTTCTCGCCCCAGAATGAAAAGTTAGACTCGTGCGAGGCGCCAATAACATCGGAGAAGTGGGTCAACCAGATGGCGAAGGGATAGTCCTTGGGATGGGTTTCATTCGTCCAGATGCCCTCAAAAACGAACTGGAAGTGTTTGCGAAATCCCTCATTATCCAGGATATTCTTACTATAACTTATTCCTTTACTCACGCTGTACTTGGCTTCATCGCAGGCGCAGCATTCCTTCTGGGCAGCAGCTGCGTCCGGTTTCCGCTCACAGATCACGGTGGATAGGTTGCCATCGTCGGCAAACCAGGCTTTGGGGCCCTCATAGACCATGGCCGACAGGGAAACACAGCCGGAACCCGCCTCCGGAGCCACCCACATGACCTGGACCTCCGTTTTGGGCAGGTCGTCGGCCTCGGAAACAGTATTCACACATCGGTCGTTGAATTTGGTCAGGGAGTCGCTGAACAGCTGAAAGCGACCCACTCGCCTGGGACTGGCTGCCTGGGGACGCCGTGCTCCAGTTTGAGCCTCTGCAGCAATGGTGAAGTGGGTAAAGTGCTGGATTTTCGTGTGGGTTCGGGATCCAAGTAGGAGCACTGTTGAATACATTTCAATTTAAATTTCGATAAGAATGCTAATCGATTAAGAAAAATCGCTGCCGCACATGCCGTCATTTAACAACACTGTTCAGTATCTATATCCGTTTCACTCTCGCGTTGAAGCCAACGCGCAATCTTAACTATACGTTTAATTTGTTTTATTGTTACCCATTTCGTTTAAATAATGTCCTCATTCATGGATATGCTGACAGGGAGTCGGAGCGTCGACCTGAAAAAGTGCGGCGATGTGGTGGTGTCCCCCAGCGATAATATGGTGGCGGTTTACTGCCACTTCTGCCGGGACATATTTACAAATTTGCGGGAATTTTTGAGACACCTCCAGTGGGCGCATGTCGATGTGCTGCATTTCACCAAGGAGCAGAATGGGTACTGCGTGGAAGAGCTGTTGTCCGAGGAGGAGGATGCCCAGTCGGCGGGCAGCCGCAACACCAGCGGCGGGGATTCCGGCGTTCAGGCAGAATCGGAGGAATTGGAGGGCATAAAGAATGCCGGAAATAAGGCACACAGTAGTCAAAAAACACGTGAGTACTAGGGGCATTCTCCAAAAAAAGGCTCATTTTAATCGTAAGTTACTTATACCGCAGTGGGACTTAAGGATAAAGTGGAGGATATAGTGGCAAAGGAGGGACACTCCCAACAGAAAGATATCATTGAATCAAAGCCCGAAAACCAGGGATTCAAAGGTCCTCGCAACAAGACTGCAAATGAGGGGAAAACCTTGAAAATCTGCGAGCTAAAGAGTCACAGCATTGCCAGGAATTCGAGGAAACGTATGAGCAGCGTGAAGAACCGCATCCTACAAGCCATTGAAAACGATGTGAATACAAAAATTCTTATGAAACCTACGGGAACCAACTGCAGTCTCCTTATAACTGAACCTCTAGAAGAAGGGAACATACAGCCTCTTAATTTTAATACTCCTATCAAGCCAGCACCAAGCTCATCTAATTTAAGTGTAAGAAAATCTAGTTTAACCAAAGCTCGAATGGAAACAGATCCTTCCCAGGTCAGTCATCTTAACTCTAAGGCAAAGCCCAACTCAACATCTCAGCAAGTTAAAGTATATTCCGTTTCAAGTATGGTTAAAGAAATCTGTCAGTTCTCAAAACCATCTAGACCTAGTGTCGAAAGAGCAAAGAGGATATCATCACCCTTGCAAATAAGACATGTAGATTTTCTGCCGAAGCTTGATTTAAAACCAAAGTCATTAACTAAGACAAGCGAAGCAATTGAGAGCAAGGAGTCACATTTGCCTAACAAGAAACCAACGTCTGATAGTCTCGTTAAGCCACTACAAACTAAAAATCCATTGTTAAAAAGAGGTTTGGAGGAAATCGGCAGTACCCGAGATGATAATCAGCCCAAAAATCTAAGTCTTTCAGTGCCCAATTTAAATACTAATTCAAACAAAGAGCAAAAGCTATCGGACAACGACAATAAAAAACAGACAAAACCATCTAGACCTAGTGACGAAAGAACAAAGAGGATATCATCACCCTTGCAAATAAGACATGTAGATTTTCTGCCAAAGCTTGATTTAAAACTTAAGTCATTAACTAAGGCAAGCGAAGCAATTGAGTGCAAAGAGTCACCTTTGTCCAACAAGAAACCAACATCTGATAGTCTCCTTAAGCCACTACAAACTAAAAATCCATTGTTAAAAAGAGCTACGGAGGAAATCGGCAGTCCCCAAGATGATAATGAGCCCAAAAATCTTTCAGTGCCCAATCTAAATACTAATTCAAACAAAGAGCAAAAGCTATCGGGCAACGACAATAAAAAACACTTCAAATTGGAGACGAAAAATTCAGATAATTTAGATTTGGAGTCCAACAATCTAGAAACCAGCACCTCCAAAGGTTCAAAAATTGATCAGACAAAGATAAACCTCGTAAAAAAGAAACAGACCACAAATCAAACAATTTACCAAAAACTATTTAAAGGCAATACTAAATACGACAAACTGGAGCCCGAAAGTATAGACACCGGCCGCAAAATGTTGCAAGCCAAAAAGCAGAAGGAAAACCTGATCGGAATTAAAAACGAACAGACAAGTAACAATACAAATCTGCGTTCAAATAAAAAATCCGGACCCTTATTAGACAATGCAACTCTTTTAAAAAATGTTGGGGTGAGCAATTGATCCCCGACATTGCCCGATACACCTAATACTTTGATCCTTTTCAGTTACCAGCAATCCAAAATGCCAGCTTTGAGGATAAAATAATGTTGGACGAGTTGGTGCAGTTGCGCGAAAAGGCTGCCCAGTTTAGCAAAATATACATGAAGCACGATTCCATTTGGAATTATAGAACGAAGACTCCATCAGCCACATCTGAATATCTTTCTCTCCTTATTTCTGCGTTAACTTCGGAAGTAAACTTAGTGATGGGATGCAACATGACTGAAAGCGAATTAAAACGTATCATAAATCTGATTTCAGCTTGGTATCAAAATATGATTAATCTGAAGATTTTCAAGAAAGTAGCTCTCTCGCTCACCGACCAACACCATTTAAACCTATTCGCTTTTTTACCTGTTAGTGCTGCGTACTTTTGCGAGAGTTGCGAGAAAATCTTCGCCTTTGAAGATTCCTACAAAAAGCATTTGGTGTCCCACGAAGTTGGGTATCGTTGCACATTATGCAATAGAATTTTCAAGTACCAAGGATTCTACGAGAATCATTTGCGCACCGTTCATTCATAAACTGTGCCACCTACGACCTCATTAAGATTTAAGTTGTAGTTATCAGTAATACACTACTCAATGTTATGTAGTTGCCAAAAATACATATAAAGAATATTGAAAAAACAAATAAGCAGTGAAGTTCATAAACTAGCTAGTTATGATTATTTTAAAACGTTATTATTTTATATTATATTATATATTATATTTTTCTGTACTAAGGTTTTGAATAAATAACCACTGTACCCTCAATACATTCCAGTTCTTTCATCATTAAACACACGAATAAATTAAAGATTAGCCACATAGAAATTAAAAATGGCATTATCAAAATACTTTGTTAACCGAGAGGATGGACACCAGTTGCCCTGCATTTTCTTATCACCTCCATTGCTTTTGTTTTTAGTTCTCAAGTGACCCCGCTGATTACGAAACCAGCTTCCCGACTTACAATTATACGTCTTCCCGGGCACGTATCCGTTGGGTCCATCGGCCACAATTAATTTGTATCCATTGTCGCCGCGTGTGCGTCGACCGTGGTTCAAGTGGGTGGGCGCCCGGGGACAGGCGGTAACCGTACTAATTGTCAGCCAGACGACGACGACGAGGCGAATCAGCAGCGGCAGCGATTGCCCCATCTCCAGTGCTTTGTTCCCGCGTTATCACTGATTTCACTAGGGTTTCTGAGCTCGACAGAAGATGCGACTGTTCCAGGCGAGGCTCAGCAGCAGACTAATATAGCAGGAGAGGCGATTGAGCTATCTTCACGTCGAGTGACGAAGCCGATGCCGGATGCTTCGGGTACTCTGATTACAAACATTGGTATTGAGGCGGTTTAGATTGTCTCAATCCATTGCTCCTTGATTAATATCACTTTCCTCTGGCTTCTTTTTCTATTTGGTATATATTTCGTGGTATAAATGTTGCCGTACAATTTACAAATAATATTACTATTATATATTTCCATATCATCGGTAACAGTGTTCACTATCGTAGTTCGTAGTTCATAAATTTGTAGGTTGGCTCTGCGCTCACCAAGTAGTTTAATCCGCGCGGATGCGCTTTAGGAAACTCAACGTTGGTCGAGAAAAAGCAAATATACTGATAAACAAACTAGGACTGATCACACGGTTGGCATTCGATCGGTAAATAGGGAATAAATGTGAGAACTATAAAGCATACGGGCATAAATCACAATTGCAAACGAAGTTAATACTAAAAGGTCAGAATAGGCGTTTCCCGGTGATCCAAGAGATCTGTGAAGGAGGTTAGGATTAGGGTAACTATTAGCTGGGAGTCCCTTTGGATAGCTTACCCTTTGCAATGCTCCACCAGGGCAGTGTCACATAGGTGAGGAATGCATTGAGCGGCGTGGACTGCTGTCTTCTGTTCTCTTTCCAGAAATGAAAGGACTGAGTAAAGCCTCGACTGGTCCAGAGAGGATTGTAGGCGCCGTCGTCGAGTTCTAAAAGTAAATAAGGCCCACAGGATTAGACACGGTGAATCGAGAGCATTAGAAACTAGGGACATGCATTGTATAACAAGAAGTGTAGATATAAAATCCCAGGCAATAACCTTTTAGTGCCTTTTTGGGCACGTCGCACCAGTAGTAGATGTTGGTGCCATCTGGAGTTCGGCGCTTCGGCACCAGATGCAGCATCTTGCTGACATGAGCCTGCTTGGCTGTCCGCGGAAGAGTAGCACTGGTGGCCTCCTGGTTGCCATTGGCCACATCGAGCATAGGCGTAAGTTCCGTGGGCGAAATCACCTTGGTTATTTCACTCTCCTCGTTCTCATTGTTCTCGTCCGGCTGCAGCGGATGATTTTCCGGCTCCACCGCAACGCGGACACATTTCTCAAATCGGTTGGGTGGGGTCTTGGGGGATTCCACCACCGGCAGCTCCTCACGTCCTCGCACACTGATCATCAGCTTGCTATCGCTCTCACTTAGGATGGCCATCTTGGCGGCTCCAGCTCCTTCGGACTCACTACCATTCAGCGAGGTAGCATCGTCGGCGATTTCGTACTCCTCGCTCTTAGAGGCTTCAGGCCTTGGATTGTTATTGTTGACAGCCTTGTGTTTTGTCGCACCACTTGATTTGCCTTTGTCCTTTTCCTTAGTCTTGTCGCTGTCTTTGTCTTTGTCCTTTTCCTTGTCCTTGCCGGCTTTGAGCCGCTTGGGCGACATCTTGGCCAGAAAGTTGGTTGCCGAGCCGTTGACCTTCTGATTCGAAGACTTCTTGTCGTTCTCCTTGTTCTTGTCCTTATCCTTGCTATCTTTGTCCTTCTCCGGATCCTTGGCCTTGGCCGAGCGCAGTCTTGGGGTTATAATCTTCTTGGTGGCCACCGGCAGACTGGTCCTGCGATCAGCGGCGCTGAGTGAAGCGCTCCTGGTGATGCTTGCACCCTGCTGCTTGCGCTTGGTCTCCGACGGAAGCCTGAAACTGCTCCTTTTGCCCACCAGCAGCTCGCTCTCCACACTGAGGATGCTGGTCTTGGGCTTGAGACGGGTGGGCCGCTTGTCGGGCATCTTGGCCAGGCAGGCGGGCGACTCGTTGGACGGATCCTCGCAGCTGGGGCAGTACACCTCGGACATTTCGGGGGTGTCCGTGTTCTTGGCCGACGCCCAGCGCTTCTTGCCCTTCTTGCCACCGAAACAGTTGCAGCCCGTGGACGAGTTTTGCCCAGCTCCTTTGCTGTCGCCGGAGACTGTGACCTCCACGGCGGCACTCAAAGGAGGCGGAGTCACGGCCGGAACAGCAGCGGCCGCTGGAGCAGTGGAAGAACTCCCAGTTGGAGATTCTTGGGGCAACTTTTCTTGGTCACCAGCAGCGAGCTTGTGGGTCTCGCAATTCGGATTTGGGTGCAGTTTTGCCGCGGAGGCCGAGAAAGCAGGACGTTGCTGATCTACAAGTAGATATAGATCGGTTTTTGCGTTTAAAAGCATATACATCGACACACATGTACAACCGAGGATCGGCCCAAGCAACTTAATTGGTAATTGGCAACAGAAAGCAGTGGAAATAATAAGCCAGAATAGGGAAACACAAAAAGCTAGGGGATCGATCGGTGAGGATGTCTAATGAATATACAATCAAGCCACCACCTCGGAAAACAAAATTTCTAAGAGGAGTGGGAAAAGGATAGGACTAAAGGATGTGATGAACGACGCCCTGCCTCAACCCAACATCCAGTGTCAAAACAAAAGCCAAACGGAACATAATTTTGGTTGTCCTTAGTGTATTATTTGTCCTGCTTTCTCGGCAATGTCTGGTGTTCTCTTTATATATATATACTCTGGAGTTGTTTTTTAGGGGGCACATATAAAGTATATATATAAATTTGATAGTTGGAAATTGTAAAAGGAAAATCAATGGAACCACAACACATTACGAGAAGTAAATCAGGAATATGAACGGAAATGAAAGGAGCAAGCGGAATAAGCAGCATTAACTACGGTAACAAGTACTAGCAATGTTCAATTGTAAATATCATGCAACTAAAGGATGCTCAAATGAAGAGGAAACTAGGAGAAACTAGGTATAGAGGTATAGACTGACCATCGCGCAGATCTCCAGCCTCGATCTCGGACACCTCGCTGGCCAGCGAATCCAGTCCCTCGTTCTCCGATCGCGCTTTGGCACCCACACTGGGACTGGTGCCACTGCCCACCATGTCCTGGTTATTCGAGTTCTTGGTGCGCCAGCCGTAGCGGGAGAAGTTGTTCAGATTGGCGCTCGGATCGCTGAGACGTCGCTGATGACGGTAGGTGCAGTAGTCGTCGTTCTCCTCCTCCCACTCGTCCCACATGTCAGTGGCGCAGAATCCCGGCTCGCTGGTGGGCGTCTCCACCCCGGATCCCTTTGGCTTGGTCACCGCCATCTCGGCATGGCCCTTTCCCTGCGGTCCCTTCATCCGGACAAATTCACAGCGTGTTTGGACGCCCGCTCCACTGCTGAAGAGGCCGAAAGACATGCGCTGCGCCACCTTGGAACTCAGACTGGATTGCTTTGGGACCCAATAATCAAGTTAGTATAAAACAGGAATCGCAAGTAACATTCCAACTTACCCTGGCATCGTACACCTTCTTCAGGGCATCGTAGCGTATGGATCCCAAGAAAATCACGCCCTGGACAGCTCCATCCTTGTCATTGGCTACCAGTTCCACGCACACCATCTCCCCGTCGCGCACCAAGATGTCGCTGAACACCTCGTCGAAGTTGTCCACCATGAAGCAGATGTGCGGATACGTGATCTCCTCGCCCTCGCCCTTGGTGTCCATCTTCCGGCGACTGGGACTGGCGTACACCCTCTGCGAGTGCCTCCTCAGCACCTGCAGCTCCTTGGGCGAGGTTCTGGTGCAAATGGCCAGTGTCAGCGTGTAATCGAACTGGTGGATGACCATGTTCAGATAGACTGTCTCCTCCCAGTCCACATCGGGATCCCCGATGGGCAGTTTGCGCGAGTCCTTGCGGAATACCTCCACCTCAGTCTGTGGGAGAAATAAGTGTTATGGATCAATAGGTCGGGGTTGCAGTCCCAAATACTCACCTCAAATTTTGGCATGTGGCGCGAGGAGCTCTTCACGTGCTTCTTGCGCACAAAGAAGAGCAAATCGTCCGAGTCGATGCTGTGCACGGGCTCTGTCTGGAAGAGGAAGTGCCGCACGAACAGGTCCGTCCAGTAGGTGGTGCCCTGGAGCACAACGAAACCACCATCTGAAAAGGGCATGCAAATAATACAATTAGTGGTAGTGATATAAGATAAAATACAATTTATATAAGTTACGTCTTGGCTTTGCATTATCTTTAAATGTTTTCAATTCAAATTATGAACTTGATATTAACAAGAAGCTTAAAGGTTTAGCAACTTTTTCCTCTAAGATGAGATGGGGTCTGAAGAACTTGTGAGAACTGCGGTATGCCCAAGACTTATAATGAAGATATGTAAAATATAAAACCAAGTTTAAGATAGCTAATTATCTGTGGTTTCATTTTGGGGCATGTTCTCCTTTAAATGAGTGTCTAAAGGACTCGTGTGAATTGGGGGCTGCTCAAATTGACCGACAGGTGAACAGCTGTTTGTGGTTTCCCCATCCTGGCCCCTTCGATAAAAGTAAAAGCTGCTTATGTAAAAGAAAACAAATCGTTGGTGAAAAGTGGGGCGGAAAAGGCACGCACACAGGCGCGTCAGGCACCAACACACACGCACACCTCCTTGGGGGTTGCCCCCTGGGTGGTGTTTTGTATGGCTGTGTGAGTGTGACAAATCGATAAAGTGCAAATGTAGACAAATTTTCGCCGCTACAGAGGGAAAATCGGGAGTTCCAGTCCGGATCAGAGGGATACCCACCGTCCTTCAGCAGCTGGCGCATCTCCTTGGTCCTCTGAAAGTTGATGTCCTCCAGGAGCTGCTGCAGAGGCGTCTGGGATCCCTTCAAAAGGGCAGCGGCGGCACTGGCGAGGGCCATCCTATTTGGGGCTTTCCACGGTTCCGGCTCCGATGACGAATGTCGATGTAGAATGGTGAGTGTTACTATTTCACAACGTCCCAGACATCTCGGTTTTTGCAGGGGGGCGGTGTTGGTAGGGGGGCGCGGCTAGTGATGTGTATATTCCAGCATTTGTTGTTGATCTGCGAATAGTTATTCTAGTTCAGCTGAGATTATTATTAGTCGGCGGAGAGCAGCTCGTCTCCACGGCAGCACATGCAAATTGCAACTGAGCATCGATTCTCGGGGGTTGGTTTTCTTTCCCTTATCCGCGGAGTTTCCCCCATCCGTATTATCAGGCATCAGCTGTTCACACCCCTTCTTGTTATGGCCACTTCTTCTTTGTCTTATTTTTAGTAATTTGTGAAAAATTCCATTGCTAACTCATTTGTTTTGTTTAGCCAAGCTTTTATTGTTAAATTAACAAAAAAAAAAATAAATAACAATACAAATAGATCCACAAGTGTTGGAAAACCACAAAGTTAAACGATAACACTAAGCTTGCGCCATTTCGGTTAGAGCTTACTAACAGTTATCGATTTCAAAATTTTCAAAATTACCGCAGTTAAATTACTATGATCATTATATTGTAATTAACGACATATCTCGTCTTATAATAACTTAAAACCAAAATATTTTAAGCAATGGTAAAAGCTCTGAAAACAATAACTACCATATCTTAATTTCAAAGCCAGTGCACTCCTTTTTTTATAATTCTGATCCGATCTGATATATCCGCTTTCACCTTATCTATTTTACCAGATCCGAAACCTGTAGCTCTTATAAAAACAGCTGCGGTTCAAAAATTAAATCACGGTTATTGAAATCAAATGCCAACTTTTTACTGCCTCAGCACAGGTTTTACTGATCTACCACATCGTCATTAGATTCTTGGATGTTTTTTATATCGTCCTGCAGCTCCTTTAGTTCCCGGAGCATGGAGCGCGAAAGCTGACCCTCTGGAGTGGCCAAGGGCTCGAAGAGCAGCATTCGCAGGGATTCCCTAATCATGACCTCAACTTGCTCCAACGTCGCCTAGAATAAAAAATGGTTTAAAATAATATAGGGGATAATTCTAACATATCCCCACCAGTAGATCGCTGCCACTCTGCTCCTGCTCACTGAACTGCTTTCTGGCCAACTCCGCCTGCGTGTTGGCCAGTTCGTAGAGAGCGATGGCCTTCATTCTGGAGATTCCCGGGGCCAAAACCTTCAAAACCAGCAATATTTCCTGGCACAAACGAATCTTCCTCTCGTAGACTTTCTTATTGGGTCGATGCGCTATGTTCTGCAGGATCTGGCGCAGTATAGAGGCGATGTTCTGTTTTAGGTCCAGCATTAGGTAATGATTCCGATGGAGCAGCCGGCTTAACTTGGCCAGGAGAAGCTCCAACCTGTAGATATCATCCCTGGCATGAAATATCTCCTCCCTAGCCCTCTCCAGAATATTCGCAACAAACTCCTGTTTCAGTGTGTGATCCGGATTGAGGATGCACTGCCAAGTTCCGGTCTCCGGCTGGCGGATTATGTACCCACCTGGGCAGGAACAGTGGCTGCAGATGAAGCTGCTCATGTGTGTACCCAGCTCGGTGGGATCCTGGCAGCGTGGACAAGTGCAGTCAAAGTACTTGCCCACCCTAAGGATGTCACGACGCTCCTCGGTTCCCAGGAGCACATTGGTGTAGCAGTTGTAGAGGATTTCCCCGGCGGCTATGAACCGATTGGCATAGACTTTTATGCGTCGCTCGTCATCAATGGCGGTCACCAGGTTGGGCATGCAACTGTGGGCAAATAGTCCCGCCCTGCGATACAATCCCCTCATGGAGCCACCCGGTTCGGGAGCCCTGATCTCAAAGGCGTTTACATCCAGGATGCTCAACAAACCCTGCACTTGGTCCTCGTCCGCCTCCCTCTGCAGGTGTTTCAGCACTCCACATTCTTCCAGAGGAGCAAAGGCGTGCTCGTGGTAGTTTTTCCAGATGTCCGTGCCCTTCCTTGTCGCCAGATGGGTTTCCATTTGGGTCATCTCCTCGTACAATGGCAGTGTTTCTGGATGCTCCCTCAAAAGCAGACATTTCAGGGCTGGCTGGATATCCGGGTGCTCCTGGAGACGCTTCACCTGCTCCTCCGAGAGCTCAATCTCAGCCAGCCTCTGGCAATTGTGGCTATTGTGGTCCGAGCAATCCTCGCACAAAACTAAAAGGCGACACTTCCTAAAGAGTTTACATAAGAGTGAGCGGTGGATGAGGAACTTGTATGACGTCCACCAACCTGCAAAAATTCTGGACCAGCTTGAAGCACTTGGAGCAGCGGCGATCGCCCATGTGGGGCACGACCACGATAGGCTGCTCCAGCAGCAAGGTCTCGCCAGCACGCAGATTGCACTGGGCCACCACAAACCTGGAGGAAAAACCCAGGGGGATCAAGTGTGGAAAGGATTAGAGTGGGAATGGACCCACCTGCCCAGTGCCTCGTTCTGCTTCACCTCGCACTTCCTGCCAAAATCGTCCGTTGCGGCGGCCATTCTCTGTTCCCGTTCCCTTTGGCTACCTTTGGCATACTGACAACACGACCAGCGACAAGCTGGCAACTTATTTTTAATTGAACGACAATTCTTTATTTATTTCTTGGTCAATGATTCCCCCGCCCAACCAAACGTTGAACCGTGTCGCCGGCACACAATGTAAAACTGGCAGCCGCATCATCTGAAGGGAGAGCATTGCTTCCATTCGCCTAGTCTAGTCTAATCTAATTTAAATTTAAAATCGTCGCTGCAGTGCCGCGAATCGCATCCAACAATCAAGTTAACACATGTAGGGAACTATCTGCCGTATTTCTTCAAATCGGACTCAATACGCTCCAGCTCCATGGAAATCCGGTCGGAAAGGTAGCCCTCTGCGGAGTTTTCTGGCTCAAAGCGGAGTAGGTCCATCGCTTCCTTGGCCGCCAAACTGGCGGTCCTTAAGTGGGCCTTGAAATATTCATTTTTACTATCAAATCTCCCCGAAGATCCCTGAGGAAACTCACCACATACTCCTTTTTGTCCAGATCACTTTCGGCAAACTGGAGTTCCACCAGCTCCACCAAGGCGAGTAGATACTCGAACAGGCCAATGGCGTACAGCTTGGAAATGCCCGGCACCACCGCCCTGCAGACGGGCAGCAGATCGGAGCAGAGTTCCACGCGGCGAGCCAGGAGCTTCTTGCACGGCTGCTCCATGGAGTTCATCAGGGCCGCCGCTCGCAGGATGCTGGCAATGTTTTGCTTGATGTCCAGCAACATGAAGTGATTGGGATGGAGCAGTGGTCCATACTGGGTCAGAAGGGATTCGTAGACCTGCAGCTCTCCCCTGGCCTCGACCAAGGCTGCGCCCACCTCCGCCTGGAGCTCGTGGACTTCGGCAGCGGTGAGCAGAGCTTTACAATCCGGACATCGCCAGTCTCCCAGTCTCCCATTTGGATCTATCTCGCAAACGGAAAACCCGCTGCACTCTCTACACTTCATGCTGCTCATGTGTGTGCCCATCTCAGTGGGATCCAGACAGCGGGAGCAGGAGCACTCCAGTCTCCGACTGAGTCGCAGTTGGTGTTGTCTCTGGCTGGTGCCCATCAGAGGATTGGTGTAGGAGTTGAAGATTATGTCACCCGGCTGCAGGTGAACAGCCGCATACAGCTTCATGTTGAACTGCTCGTCCAAGGCCACCACCGTGTTGGGCACGCAGTTGTGTGGCAAGCTGGCGCCACACACGAAGACTCCCTTCAGAGTATCGCCATCCCTGGCGGTCACCTCGAAGGAATTGCTGTCGATGCGGATGCAGTGGGCGTGCAGGATATCCGAGGTCAACTGCTGGGTGGGAAGAACGTCGAGCAGGCCACTCTCCATCAGTGGGCGCACCACCTGCTCCTCGTGCTCCTGCCACATTCCTTCTCCGTCGCGGTAATCGCTGAGATTTACTGGTGTCTCCAAGAGCATTTGGCAGTCGCCTCTTGTGCCAGGATTGTCCAGTAGAAGTAGCAGTTTTAGCAGTCCACAAATGCCATAGTGCTTCACCAGGATATCCTTGCAGATGGCTTTGCCTGCTCCGCTGGCGAAGAACTCGCATTCGAAATCATCGTGCTGGCTGCAGTCCATGCATAGCGGAAACACCTGGCACCTCCGGCACATCACATAGGACTCCTGCAGGCACTGGGCGCACTTGAGTTGCTGACACTCCCAGTGGGGAGCCACCAGCAAGGGCCGTTCCTCCAGCAATGTCTCTCCTGGTTCGATGCTTATGGCGGCCACCAAGTGCCTGCATGGGAAAGTTAATAATGTTCATGTCTTGGAAGAGGAGCTCAACTCACCTGCCCAGCTTTTCATTGTGCACCTGCTGAATATTTTCGCCTAATTCCTGCATCGATTACGTGTGAGTTGCCTGGCGAGAAATGTACTCAGTTAGTGATTTCACCTACGGCGTCGTGGCTTGTGCTTCGTTTACCCAACCAAAACGCACTGAGCAATTATAAATATACTCTGCGGTGTTGCTGGCGGAGGAAGAAGAATTTGCCTATTTTTCAGGAGCCCTGTCGTTTCGCTAAGTACTTTGGCTAATTGCGTGCGTAGCTCGAACGTGATGCTGCTTTATTTATAGACTCAGTCGTTTGGAGGAGGTGATGCCGCACTAACGCGTCTGCTTTTCGCTTAGTTTTTCCTTTAGGGAATGATTTATTCAATCGAATTCTTCTTAATAACTATATAGTTTATTGTTCTTTATAAATGTATCAAACATTGTGTATTTAGCTGATATTCTTTAAGTCGATAATATGCATATATATATGTATTTAATTAGTTTTACGAGGGGACATTGTTAGGCTTAATTCAAAGTGTTACGGTTCTTGTGGAATACATAATATTTTAGGAAAACAAATGAAGCTACATTAACAGTAGTAAAAGGCATGCTCTAAGAAAGGCTACTCGTAAAACACAGACGCCGCCAATTCAATTGGTCAAATGCGTGGGGGAAAACAAGAACAAATATGTATTTTATACAAAAAAAAATTAAACAAGTTTCCTATTCCTCATCCTCAGTGCTGTTAACTCTCATGGCTTCCGGTGTCTGAACCTGGCTGGGTGAAGCCGTGGCCGTGGGAACCGGCGTGGGCGTTGGCGTCAGCGAACTGTTGGAAATGGCGTCAATATCGTCGTCAAACTCTACATCCTCAGCATGCATCAGCTTCGAAAGATCAAACTTAGTTTCCTGTTCGGGTAGAGAATGTTAACTGCCTAGAAAACCATTATAGTTTGTGGTGATTTACCTTTACTTCATCAACTCGCTGTCGGTCATGCAGCGCACTTAAAAGCTCGCGGAGGTGATGATTCTCCTTACGCAATCGCTCCCTTTCCATATCGCGTTCGTTAATTTTTGGCTGTCATTATGTAAATAACATTTAGATAATTTCTTTTGACTTGAAAATGGGTTAACCCTACCAAAAGCATGGAAATCTGCTCATTCAGTACTGTCACAATGTTGCTGAGTGCATGGCATGGCACACTCGGCTCAAGCACACTGGCGTGCTGGATGCGATTCGGCCCACAGGTGCTGCCCGATCCTCCATGTAACTTTTCCGAATCTTTTGGCGCCTCTGTTGGTGATGTCTGCGTCGAACTATCGACTTTGGAAACTCTGACTTGCTCGATCTATGGGGGAACATTTATTAAAATAGGTGACTTTCAAAACGCTAATAGAAAATGTTATATTTACGGCCATGTCGATGTCCTCTTTTTTGTCCACCACAGGTTTCTCTTCGTTTTCTGCAGTAGCTACTTCGCTAATTTGACATTTTAGTTCGTCGGTTGATGCAGCAGGCGAAACCTCGTTATCAGCTATCGTCAAATCTCCCTCTTCCTTGGTGCTCTCCGCCTTCGCATTGTGCTTATCTTGGTTGCATGGTTCACTTGTAGTAGGTTGTGAATCTGACGGCTCAACTTCCTTCTCTGCCATCTTCTTCTCCGCCTCTGCCATGGGTTGTTCCTTCTCCACCGGCAGACTCTCAGGAACAGCATCCGTGCTTTGGCGTTTCGTCGACTCTACAACAACCGATTGTGAAGTCTGCGGCTCTGTTTTGAACGGAGCCAGTGGCGTTGTCGGCCTTTCATGTGGCTTGGACGGTAACGCTGGCAAGCGCAGTTCGTCGATCTCACAGTACCCGTCGTCGTCTTCGTGTATGGCAACTTCGTCAAGATCAAGGGTTTGTAGTTTGGGCATCAACCGCGATGGCGGTATCTGCGCCTGGGCCTGGGCATGCTGCCTATTTGGCGGCGGCAGCGGTGGCGGAGATGAGGAGAACGAAGAGGATGGTGCCACCTTCTTGCCCAGCTTTTCCTTCTCGTGACAGTGGCCGCAAACCACAGTGGAAACTGCTGAGACCTCTTGCTCGGGAGTCACGTGCATGTATTCGTTCAGCATCTTGGCCAGGGTTTGAATCTGATCGTAAGCAGCTAGGGCAATATCTGCACTGTCTTTCGGTGCCTCTGGCATCATGGCAATGTCCACAATCTGGTCGTAGTGCTCCACTGGCAAACGGAAAATATCACAAATGATTTTCTGCTTCTCCAGCAAATCACTCCTAATGGAGGCGTCTAGCCGCCGAAGTTTCTCTCCCGGAGTCAGCACGGGTTCCGCGGTGTGGGCTGGACTGATGCTGACCTGAATGGCCGTGGGGTCCACTAAGGGGCTCTGCATCAGTAGGGTGCGCGTGTTGTTCGAGTTGTTCGAGCAGACAATACTGGCACTATCGCGTTTGGAGTGACCACCGACCAATCCATAGGTGGAGTTTCTTTCCTCGCCAGTCGATCCCGGCCTAACGGATTCCCTGGCCGACTGAGAATGGCGTAAAGTGACGTCGTTCGCCTCTGATCCAGTTGCGGAATACTTTTGGCTGGGCTCCCCAGTGCTTCTTATTGACATAGAGCGATTAACATCATTCTGGCTCGACCGCAGTTTCGGTGTGTTTACATAATCAGCATCAGATTCATTTGCTCCCAGCTCCTTTTGCGGATTTCGTAGCTGCACTCCGGTAAGGGAACTAACATTGCTGTTATTGGTCGCTGGGGCCGGCGTAACAGTGGCTATCGGTAGCATGGGTGCCAAGGGAGTGGTGGTCACCGTGGCTGTCGCCGCCATTGGCTGAGCACAGTCGGTGGTCAGTTCCAACGACTCCTTGGTGCTGGAATGGGGGATAGCGGTGAGAGCAGGGTCACTGATACTGGTGTCATGGCTGTTCGAGGTGTTCTTCGAACGATTCTTGGACTGGCGGGCAGCAGCATCCGATATGTGCTTAAACCAACTGTAAGAGAATATTTTAAATGAATACTCGTTGAATGTATTACGGAATGAATTGATCTCTTACGTCTTGCATTCCGAGCTGCTCGGCGCACGCAGCTCCAGCATTTGTGATGATTTTGTCTTGATGAGGAAAAAGGAATTCTTGTCGGCCGCCTCTTGGCGCACCAAAGTCTCCGCATCGATGCTCATAATGGGACTGACGGGCTTGTTGTTCACACTCAGCGGCGTGTGTAGGTTCTTCAGATAGTATTTATCATCCTAAAAAAGGAATGCAAAGAGGGAATTAAACATTTAATTGCACTTCCACAGGAATTATAACTTGCCTGCTTGGTCAGCAAAACGATCATGTTTTCAAACAACAGGCCGTGCAGCTGAACGCCAGGATTCTTCTTAATAGTCAGGTTTCCGTCATGGATCAGGTGGTGCTGGGTCAGGTCCAACTTCCTAAACTCCTCCTTGTCATAGGAGGATCTGTCTAGCTTACGCTGAATATTTTGCAATCTGTTTAAATCAGAGAAAAGGTGAACAAACATTGAAATACAAATTTATTTTTAAGCTTTTTAGATACGCACTTGTGAGCGTCCTCGGCTGTTTTAACGGCCTGGTTGACCTCCACGAGAATCCTTTTTGAGGATTCCACGGCTCGCTGGATGGCCTCCGCTTCGGTGGTATTTTCCGGCAGCAATCGCACAGTCACCTTGTAAAGGCTATCAAACAGCAACGGATACTTTGTGAGGCGCTGCAACACAGTGGGCAACAGGTCCTTCAGTTCGAGCCGGCGACATGCTTTGTCCGACTCCGACTTTCTCAACAACTTCTGCAGCGACTCATCCTTGTTGCGCTTCTCCTTCAGGGCCTCCAAGGCAATTTGCTGGCGGGCACAGAACTGAGCAGCGTACTCGCATAGAACTACTCCGGACTGGCCGTCGAACATGTCGGCCAGCAGGTCTCCCACGGTGTTCACCACATGGTTTTGCTCGATGCGTCGCTGCTTTAGACGCTGCTCGAAGGCGCCGTGAATCTCACGGAGCGAGAGCAATGCGGGTGGGAACAGCAACAGCAGATGATCCTGCGACAGCAGTCCACTCTCGTAGAGTGGCAGGAAGAACAGTCGATCCAACAGCTTGAGGGTTCGCACATGGTTGCGTTCAGTTTGATAGATTTCTTCAGAGAAATAGATCACGATCAGTATTATATATACCTCATCAAAGAATATTTAAGCTCACCATTGATAATCTCCTGACGTTTCTTTTCGGCATCCGTTAAAGCTGCCAGCATCTCGGCGGCCACCATTGAACTCCAGTCGGCCTCGTTGACATCATCCTCGTCGTCGCTCTCCATGTTCCATGGCTTAGGCAATGGATGACCGGCATTCCAGAAACTAGAGTTGCTGGCAGCACTACTTCCCCCGGCTCCTGCCAAGCCGGCCTGAAAGGAATCCTGCTGACAGTACTGCTGGGCATGCTGCTGGATGAGCAGGTGTGGATGTTGGCTATGGTTCAATCCAATCGGCGGAACATGGACGCCACCGGCAGCTCCGGCCGCAGCAAAGTGCTCCATCGAAGTGCTGGGGCTCTCGCTGCCACCAGCTGAAGAGAGACTAGAATTGGAACTGGCCACATAGTTGGCATTCGCAAGACCCAAGTCCAGTTGCTCATCGCTGAGTTGAAAGACAAACATTTTAAAAATAAATACTTAACTTTGCTAAAATGTAATGAAATTGGTTGCGTATACGAGAGATTTGCAATGAATATTAGAACCCTTAAGCTTGGTTTTCTGGGAAGTTTAGTCAATTTACTTAGCAATGATATCAAACTTTGCTGCCTTCAGGTTTGAAGTATTTGAATAAATTAGGTGAAAAATGTTACCAACTATTCTGTTTAGTTCTCTGATATACACCACCAAATATTTCCTTTTTAATTTATTTAAGCTTAAGCTTTAAGCATTCAGAAAACAGTAACACGCTTTTTATTTACTTCAGGCTATTGAAATTAAGAGTTGTCTTGAAGCTTTTACTGCGATTAAAACGTATATTTCTTTCCATTATCTCTGCTCGGATTGATTAGTTGGTAATAGTTGAAGTTGATTCCCCTGCCGGACTGATGAGTCAATTCCAACGCGAGAAACGCCACTAAAAAGGCATTCGAGCTGGCAGGTGCTGGTAGGAAATATGTCGGAACCAGTTGCTCAAACAGTTTGTCAACAGGAAGCCGAGAAACGGCGATAGCTAGAAGCCAGGACGCGACCTGGCATTGACTAGCATGGCCGGGAACGGACTGGACGGGACTGGAGTGGCCTACATCTACATCGCAGTGCAGAAAGCGGGGCGGACAATATAATCGATGTCAATGCCGGCGTCTAATCAACTATCCCATCCACGGTGACACATACGTATGCGGTAATAGTCACCGTAAACATTAGAAGGGGGCAGTGGTAATGGCTAGTCGAAGGCTGGATACCCTGGGGCGATTCCATTTAAAGGTATTAATGCAGTGTGTGCTAATCATATCCTTGCCAACTTAAATATAGTTTAATTAAAAACTCAAACTAAAGCGAATCTTTTGAATAAACACGCAATGGAAAGTTTGTGGAAAGTTTGCGCAATGAAGGCAGACAGCATATATTGCGGCGCAGTTCACATTAATTAGTAAAATTAATATCCGGTAGCTTGGCCACCGCTCAGAAGAGTAGGAAAATGCTTTAGTTAAGAGGATTTAGGGAGTGGCCCAGGCAAAGGCCTTGGAATGGAAGAATTTATTTGGTAAGATGAGACGCCGAAGGAGGACAAGAAATAAAGACAGTGGGTCAGCACCCCCACTTCTTCTTCTCCTTGCTGGTAGTGAAATCGATTCCTTAAACTTACTTGGGACGCGACGACAAACTTGGATCAGAGGTCTTGCGACGACTGTTGCGGTTCCTCTTGTTAGACAAGCGCTCCTTGTAGGACTCCGACCGATTTACCGAGACTGGCGCGCTTTTGTGCTTCGGATGCTGACTGTAGCTGCGTTGGATTATATATTATATTATTTATCGCCTACAGGAATATCTTTCCACTACTCACCGCTCCCTACGTGCATCCTTGTCCACTGCATCCAGCGCATTTAGCTCGGTAAACGCACTCAGGCCGGCGGATACGGATCCACTGCTCGACGGCGCCGTAGACGCCACACTCGTGGACAGATCCATGTTGCATCCGGCGCCACCACCGGGGTTAATACTGTCGTTGGCGCAGCTGCCGTGAAACGAACTCTGCAGGTCAGTTGTATTCAGTGCCGAAGTGTTGCAAGATGTGTTCCCATTCGACCGTATCGATATGTTTGCATCCGGCCGACGATCTGAAGGTTGACGCACTATCGACGGCTGGCCACGGTCTGAAAACAAACAGACATTGAATATAAGTAAGTAAAAGTATAGTCCGTGTGCAACTAAGATACCATACCTGCAGTCAACTCTATGTCCAAATCCTCATCCTGTCGACTGCGTTTTTCATCTAAGGGGAAAATAACGTATTCATTTATAAAATGTTAAGCAACCAAACACTTTCTAGTTTCCCGGTCAATTACAGATACACAAAACTCAAGATTAAGCCCCTGCTTTGAAAATTGTACTTACTTCCAGTAATGTCACTGGTGCGCGGTCGAATTTTTCCCATGAATTTACTGATCTTGTCGTTATGGGCAAGACGTTTTGCCTGGGGCAAGGGACCGGGACAACTCTCGTCAACTACTTTCGAGCATTGGCGGTGTATATTCAATTTACAGTCTGCAACAGAGAAATCACGCATATTATATGGAATATATATTTTTTTCAAAGGCAAATTTAAGAGAGGCGCTCACCTGTACAATGATAACCTTGCGGACTCACACCCCAGATAATCGTCTGACAATGATTGCAGTGCGTCACTTCATAGTATTGACGCAATACCAATGGATGACCACGAACATTCATCTGCAGGGTGACAGATTTACATTTTGAGTTCGATGTGGAAAATAAACTGGGTGTTCTTAAGCTCACCTTGCGATTTTTGCCCATAATACGTGACTTGAAGCTCTTGTCTCTGCTCACAAAGTGGTGGACCCGCTCGACGATGCTGCTCGGAGGCTGACGAGTGTTGAAAATTCGGTAGATGACCGTGGAAAGGGCCGAGCACAAGGCAACCTTACGCACATCCTCCGGCGGCGAACCGTTCTCATCCTCACTAGTTAGGTTAAAACATTTTAGTAAGTAAATACCGAAACAAATTTAAGAACTCACATTAGCGTATGTAGATTGGGCATCAAATATTTGTCGATGATTTGCTCCCTTAGCTTATCCGTCCTTGCCTCGGCCAGCTTGTCGTCCGTGGGTCCGTAAATGGTGCCCAGGCCAGCGGTGCGCTTCTGCTGAAACTCGCGCAGCTGCTCGCTGATCAGGTCCTTGGCCCGCTTGCGGCTGCGCAGGAAGACGGTGCGCAGGATCTCAACCTTGTCGAACTCCAACTGCAGCACATTATCCACCTCGCGGGCCAGCAATTCGTCCTGGCGATACCACGACAAAGGAGCACGTGGCACGAGGAATGTGGAGTGGATCTCGTAGGCCCACTTGCGCATGTCCTTGGAGGTGCCCTCCTTGTACAGCTCAGTGATCAGGTAGAAGAGAAGCGGCGCGGGATCCGAGTTCGAGATCACGTAGTTCAGGAAGATGGCCAGGAAAGTGACGTGCTCAGCCTCCAGCAAACGAGTCAGGTTGTTGAACGGCCCATTCTCGTCAATGAAGGGCTCCTCCATATCTGAGGAGTTTTCGTCTTCCATCGATATGATCTCCTTCTGCGTGTCGTTCGACTGGGCCGCCTGTATATGGCCGGAATGTAGGGACGTCGGGATTGGAGAAGAGGCTGCTGCCATCGGCGTAAACTGATGGGACTCGATAAAGACTCCTGGTCCAGCCGCTGCTGCCCCGCGACAGTTCTCGTTGGGATCTTCCAGGACGGTCATATGCGAGCTGGATAAATATGGCGGAGGTGGTGTTCCGGGCGGGGAGACCTCGCCATCCTTCTCGACAATCTCCCACGAGCCCGAAGTAGTTTTCGCTAAACGATCTGTGAACAATTTAATGTTATTGTTTAGTTTTTAAAAAGAGAGGGCTGTATTCCGTACCCGGATGACGTGGATGCATATTGTCGGGTGAAGATCCAACGCGACGATGCTTGTTCTTTCCCAAATTCGGTGTCTGTCCCAAAGCCTGTGAGGTTAAACGATTTTACAAATTATTTCGATTACATTCCTAAGTATCTTCAACATAATTCGAACTAAGGTCGATCATAATTAACATATAATTTTGACCTGCAAATAGCTTTCAAAGTCTACTTCTTCAATACAATGCAAATAATATACCCACAAATAATAACAATAATTTCCTGCGTGTTATTCAGGTTTAATGTGTTCTCGGTTGCTGTTAGTTGAGCTAGCGGGAAGCTAATTAAATTAATTTTATTAACATTGGCAACTTATGAAAGCGTCTTTTAAATAGTTAGAAGCATGAAACAGAGAAATGTTAGAGAATGGAAAGTGTGTAAGAATTAGAGAATTAGTGTTAGGTTCTCGGCAGTGTTTTTGTTGGCAAAGAGATAGAGAGATCGAGTGATTCGTTAGCTACTTACGCCTGTGGCCTGGCCACCGCTCAACTGATGTTGCTGCTGTTGCTGATATTGCTGCAGCTGCTGGACAATGTTGGGCCGCTGGGACAGGGGAAAGGCGATATTTAGGTTGTCGTTCTGCACCGCCGTTGTGGTGGAAACCAGCGGATAGTTGAACGCAGTGCCCACGGAATTGGGTTGGGCGAGATTCTGACAGCTGCCGCGGCTCATATCCTCCGTCATCATTCCTGGCAACCGAGGCGGCAGCGGCGGTGGACCTCCATCCACTTCTATGGATCCTCCAGCTGCTCCCGCCGCACAGGCCGATTCCATTTGCAGAAACATCTGGGTGGACATCTTGGGATCGGACAGTGCCTTCGTTTTTATCTTGGATCGCTTGGACTTGGCATTGCTCGGACTGTTGTCTGTGCTGCTGGGCAGTTGCTGCTGCTGCGATCTGTTCAACTGGGGACTTGTGGCGCGATCGAGATCCGAAACAGGGGCCACCAGCTGCGAGCCGCCTGGCGATCCATTTCCATTCTTAAGGTCCAGGTTCAACTGCCTGGGAGGATTCCTCTGCGGCAGTGGCGGCGGCACATCCTCCTCGATTAAACTCCTTGAAATCAGGAACTTGTTTTTGCCCTTCGAAGACGCTCCGGAATCCTTGAATCGGTGTTGCTGCTGATGCGGATGGAAGTACGTCTGCTGCGAGGTTGGAGTGCTGGTGTGCTGATGCATTGACTGCGACATGGCCTCCGCCTGGTGGCTCAGGCGCTGTTGCTGCAGGAAGTCCGTGAGGCCGAACGGAGAAGGGGTTGTCAGGTCCTTCTCGATCTTGTTTTTGCGCGTGCCCAGCGACAAGGACGAAAGGGAACGTGGCAGGAGGGACAGGAATGCGGGTGAGGTGCTAGCTGGCTGTTGCTGAGGCGGATAATTGTTGTTGTGGAGATTGTGGTGGTGGTGAAGTTGATGGAATTGCTGATTGCTGTGAGTGGCGGACGCAGACAAGTGTTGGATTTGGTTGGGCGTTAGTAATGCTGTGTTCTTATTGCCGGCGGCCGCCTGAAGTTTAACAGTCGGTGCATCCTGTGTTAGGGTTTCATCATGGGTGTGCGTTAGAATGCCGCGAGATGGAAGAGAAAGATAGAGATCATGTAGCATCAATCGGTTTCAACTGATTCCCTTTGCAACTCTCGTTTCCTTTTAATTAGCGCACAGCTCAAATTGTTAAAAACAGCGAAAGAGAATGGTTATGTTTTATTATTATTAGCTGGGTTAACAGAGCTGCTTGGCGTCTGCTGGCGGCATTAATTTCGTGTTGTGGAAGGGAGGGGCTTCCTGGGTCTAAGGAGATTCGCTGACCTAGCTTACCTTCAAAATAACCCCTACTTAATAACCCCCTCACTCACCTCGGCTCCCACCTGATGGAGTTGCTCGCGCAGTTTACGGATGTTCGCCTCCGACAGCTTGTAGCTCGGATTGTTTTGATCGCTCTTCAAACGCTCCAGATTGAGTTTCTCCTGCTCCAACATTTTCTGCAGCGTCTGGATCTTGTACGTCTCCATCTCCCGCCGTTTGATACTCTGCAGTTCGCAACAAATGAATCAAATAGTTCTTAATCTTTAGCTTCACAATACCCACATCCACCGGTTGTGGTCCAGTTATGGAGGCAGTGCGATCTCGTCCGGAAAGAATCGGTGTCGAGGGCGTCACCACAGACACAGAAGTGGGTCGTGTTAGCTTCTGACTTCGCTTCACCGAAAGTTCAACAGTTGTAGAGGCTGGAATATTTCAAGAGAAATAATTCTTTGATTAGCCTGTCTAAACAAGTTTTAACTTTTTATACCCGTTACTCGTAGAGTAAAAGGGTATATTGTATTCGTGCAAAAGTATGTAACAGCTAGAAGGAAGCGTTTCCGACCCTATAAAGTATATATATTCTTGATCAGGGTCACTAGCCGAGTCGATATAGCCATGTCCGTCTGTCCGTCTGTCCGTCTGTCTGTCCGTCTGTCTGTCTGTCCGTATGAACGCTGAGATCTCGGAAACTATAAAAGCTAGAAGATTGGCATTTTGCATGCAGATTCTAGGAGTTCCTACGCAGCGCAAGTTTGTTTCAAAACGGTGCCACGCCCCCTTTAACGCCCACAATCGCTTATATACGATTTTAAAAATTTAAATATTTCGAAAAAATAAAAATGCAGTTTTATTGTGTTTATCAATACCTATCGAAATGTAGAAGAAATTTTCCAAATCGGACCATTCGTTAAAAAGTTATGCGTGATCAAAGTTTCTATCTCCATCTCCCTCGCACTCCCTTTACCTGAGTAACGGGTATCTGATAGTCGGGGCACCCGACTATAGCGTTCTCTCTTGTTTGTTCTAAGAAATAGCCCACATAATGAACTACTCAAAAAAACCACATTAGACACATTATAATGATTTTAAACAGATTCTTAAAGTTTGTGCTCTTCGCAGGGACATTTTACTTGGGAAAGGAGCTCGGCGTCTGGGACGATCCAGTCGAACTGAAAAGCAGTACACCCATACAAGAAACAGATGAAACTGTTGAGACGGAGAGTTCCAGAGAAAAAACCGTAGAAAAGAAGGGCCCTGATTATCATAACTCTTTCTTCGACGAGGAGGAAAAAAGAAAGCTCCAACGCAAGAAAGAGGACATGGAGAAAAAGCTTTGTCCCAAGGGGAGCATCTGTGAGCCTCCACCAAAGCCCTTAAGCGAAAGTGTTGGCGAAGCCCTCTATGACACTTGGCTGGCCCTAAAGAAGATCCCATCCTACTGGAGCCGAGCGGCTGAAAGTATGGCCGATAGCATTTGCCGGTTTTTTAAGGGTGATTAGAACCAAACTATGATAATAAATTGCCTTCAACATGTACGTAAAGTAATCAAAGTAGACATGACAAATCATTTTAAAATTTATTCAAAATTTGGTTGAAATTATAAAACAACGTGCCAAAATTATAATAAAATGCCCTGCAAATTAATCGGTCGATGTGGTATTCTAACGGGGATTGGCATGTGCGTGAAGCCAGAAGAGAATGTAGTCCGTGCAGACCCCGAAAATCTCGGCTGCAGCTCTGTTCCGCTTTCAGAGGAGAGCCAGTTCAGTTTCGTGGCTGCGGACAATTGCAGCTTAGCCCTCCAGCGGGGATTCTACTTTTCCCTTCGCATGCCCGACTGGGCAAAGGAGTTTAAGGCACAGACCCAGAAGATTCTGGCCCATGGATTCGAGCCACTAAAGGCAAACTCGAAAAGCAAAGACTCAAAGCAGTCGATGGACAATCGGTCTGATCGTTATGGCATCATCTTTTCGGAGAGCACTAGTGCCAATTTCTTTGGAGATATTCCGCGAGAGATGCAAGTTCCTCAAAGAACGAACTCCCAGCGTCCAGTGCGATCGCCCAAAATCAAGGACGACTTAACGTGCGGCAAAAGGGTGTCACCCTAGACGCTTCGACATGAGCTGTCAAAAATTTAGGAGCATTTAATAACATCACTTGGAGATCGGGGTTCCAGCGCTAGAAAAAATGGTTGTGGGTCTGATTTTGCGGGCGGGCGTTGTCTACGCTGTGGTAATGGCCACCAAGAACTACGGCGTGTGGGAGTCCCCTGACAAGACGCAGGAAGTGTACGAGGACGCTGTGGAACATATCGAACCCTATGCTGAGCGGGCGCGACGCCAGCTGAAGATCTGCCCGCCACGGCCGCCTCCGCAGGGCGAGTGGTCATTCTTTGGCATCCACTACTACAATCAGTTTGTAAAATCGGTCTTTGACGTCCTCAGCGTCTTTCCCGCTGGACTAGCTGCGTTTTTGGAGAAGGCCCCTGGCCATGTAACCGCGTTCATCGAAAGCATACAGAAGTACATCAAGGAGAGCCGGTCTAAGAAGAAGGAGATTACCATATCCAAGGGACAGCTGGACGAGACGCCTCTGGTCAGACCCCCAGGACTGGTGCCGCCGCACTGCAAGGACAAGAACTGTCCGAAGGCTCCTCTGATTCCACCTGGGTGCAACCGAAACAGGGATAGCTTCATCTACGAGCCCCGGTTGCCCAAGAAACCACCGTGCGAGTGTTCCAAGTGCAAGCAACGGCAGGCGGAAAATTGGAAAGACAACAAGCGCAAGTGTCCCAGACTTCCCAGCAAAGAAAGGAGGTGTGCTTGCGGCGAAGAGCCCCGGCCAGAACCCCGCTCGGAACCCATTAAATCTTGCAAACAGTGCCGAAAACCACCTAGTGACACCACTGGCTAGGAACCCCTTCACGAAATCTCCTCACCACTCTAGCAAAATTTGTTGTACCAAAACCTAGACAATATAAATTTGGTTAACTTATTTTGCAAACTGCGCTTACTTACCTTTTATAAGACCCACTACAGTTGGATGCTTCTCCAGGCGCACTTCATGGCCATTCACCTAAAATAGATCAGTTAAATAAATGGGATATCCTTTGAGTTATAAAAACTGGGAACTACTTACCTTTAGTATCATATCGCCAGCAACCAGGCCTGCAATCTCGGCTGCACCGCCGGGTTTAACGCTTTCCACAAATACAGGATTGTCTCCGGAAACCTGCGACAAAGAAAATATAACTTATTAGATAATGTTCATAAAATTATTTTTAGTTCCTTTATCTGCATTGTTTACTGGTTTTAAATGACACAAAGTATACAAGTTTGTACTCTTTTTGCCAGGAAAAGAACTAAAGAAGTAAAATCAATCAAATCAAACCTAATTTCTAGTAGTCACATATATGTTAAAATTAACATTTTTAATTAAAGCAAATCTATTAAACACTTTGTATTGCCAGTTAATTGTATGTCAACAGTCGTTTTACAAGTTAACAACAAATAGTTTGTCAACTAAGTGGTTGAAATTAAAGCTTATTTTGAGTTAAAGAAATTGCACACTATTTCTTCACTGTTGAGGCCAAGAAATGCAGCAATGATTCTTATCATAATTACCCACCTTCATGCCGTATCCGTTGCCATCCTTGCGCACAGTCAGAGTTAAATACTGAAAATTTTTTGGTAATGGCGTTGGCGGCGGTGTCGCAGGCGTCGTGGGCTCCTGGGCATGGCCACCACCCAGCTCTCGGGAGAGGGGTGTCAGGTTGAGACTACTCCGCTCCCCTGGCGCCTGGAGAACGGTGCTGGTGTTGTCCGATTGATTCGATTGCACGCCGCCGCCCATTATGCTGCCGTTGTTGTTGCTGGCATTGTTATTGTTCGCGCATGTGGGCGTGGCTGGGGCAGAGACACCACCACCAGCTACAGTTGTGGTGTCACCATTCATCTGGCTCTGCTTGTAGCTCGCTGGCAACGGCGGCGTCTGCGGGGGCACCGAATTCTGGTTCTGGTTCTCCCGATCCCGATCCTTGTCCCGATCTTTGTCCCGATCCCTGTGACCACTCAGGCTGCTGGCCAGACTGCTGAGGCTGCTCGCCAGCGACGGGGATCGCGGTATCTTCGACTTGTTGGCCGACTGCTTCTGCTTCTGTTTGCTCTTGGAGTTCTTTACAGATTTCTGCTTGGGCGCTGGCAGCTCGGGAACTGAGTCCACAACAATGGCTGGTGACTGAGGTGCAACCGCACCTGCTGCTGAGCCTGCTCCACTTGCAGTTCCAGGGTCTGAGTTGCTGACACCGTTCGTGCTTGTGTGGCTCGCTGATGACTCCGGGGGCTGAATGCTTGACTCTTCTGGCAGCTCCTGAACTTCATCGTATTCATGTTCGTCAGTATACAAATCGATTAACCTGCGGAAAATGTAATAAATAATGTTAATTGAGGCTTAAAGCATGACGCTGGTCTAAACATGGTTTATAATAATAATAATGACTAATCATTAGGGAATAAGAATTCGTTGCTATATCTGGGTGTATAACCCACGGAGATCACTAACATCATTTGGCTTCCATTTTAATTAACTCCCCATTTTAAACGAGTTCTAATATTTAATTTTGTTGAATCATTTCATTACCTTCCTGTGCTCAAACATCTTTTCTGCAGTTGTAATTGTTTTGGAATGGAATCACAAGATTGTAAATTCAATCATTTTATCAATACTAAATCATTTCATGACGGAACTTCTTCTGCATGCAATTATTCCCATACTGCGGTATGCTGTTTTTTCGAGCAGATAGCTAGATTAGTGGCTAATCAAGACCTCGCCGTGAATGCGACAAACATGTAACGAAAGTCACGGCCAAAGCCAAAGTCAAGCGATCTGTCATCGCTGGTGGGTCTCTTTTAATTGAGCTAAAATTAAATCAGCCAGAAGAATAGATACAGTTTAATTGCTGTTTATTTGATCATTTTGCATGTGAATGGAATGGATATACGATGGATGTACATACATACGACCAGACCCGTCTATGTATATACCAGACTATAATAAAAGCTCATTTCCCGCCTGGTGAATTCATCATTATGATGAGGTAGGTATTTCCATAACAGCCGGACAAGACCTCCAAAAAGCCAATGTTTACATTATCTTTTTTCACTGATTGGCCCATGTCAATAACATGTCTCTGTTTGATCTAGAGAATTCTCTCTCTGTCTAAATTTAGCCGCTGAATTTTGAGGAAAACTCACTGCAGTCCGTTGACGGGCTGAGTAAAACCAGTTAAAGTCCACGACAAAACCAAATAAGCAACACCTAGCCGAGCTGTTAATAGATTTAAATCATTTTGCATGCTCATTATACAATCCGTGGTTAAAACACCACCACAATATGGACACACAATCATGCTTAGAAAGTCATTGGTTTCGCCAATCTATTTGGGCTAAAACTTCCCCTGGTGGCAATAAAAGAAATAAATGGTAAAATGTGAAAACTGGCCGCTCCCTAAGTTGGTGCCAGTATATATGTATTAAGTCATCCATTTGGTAGTCGAAACCGCACAAAAACAACCCCAAGCTGGGGGGCACTATTGGTATTAAAAATCAGCAAACAGTGCGTTTCAGAACTGTGAGACAGCAAAAAGTTTTACCTCGCCTGCTGGCATTTTTCAAACAACGTTAGGTGACTAATCATGGGTCAACTGAATTTGTAATTTGTTACGAAAATTGATCGGTGATCTAATGCAAAGTTATCTCATGATTTTAACTGGATATTAGACTACTAAAAATTATGCACCACAAGGAAACTGATTCGAGAAACGTATGCTGTTTCCTTGTAAGCGCTCTTAAATGCGCAGTTTACTTTTAGTGAATATTGAAAAGATTTTAAAACCATAATAGCAAAACGATTTAAAAGAGATTATTACATTTGTAGGAGACTTGATACATGGGCGATTATTAATTAAAATTGGTTGACTATATCCCTGAGCTACCATAGAAACAGTCGAGCTCCATTGTTTGTAGAGATAATTGATTGAAACTCTAACGAATTTGTGTTCAACTTGGTTAGAAATTGCCTTTCCTACACTTGCGTACTTTAGGTGTTTAATTTTTGTGTTCGACTACTCATATAACTCCATGATTTCATTTAAATTATGTATCCGACCAGTTGACACTGCCTTCAAAATTCTATACTGCATTTATATGTATAATCGATTGTGGCGTAGGAATAAGAGAGAAAATAACAATTGTTAAGTCTCTTGGGGACAATGCAATGCGACAGATAAAGAGTTATCGTAATTCGAGCAATTAAGACTGTGAGTAAAATGGTTATTCGGGGGAAATCAAAGGCCTTGGCTGCTTGGCAAACGTTGAACTCACCGTTTTTTGATTGATGGGTCATCCATAGGGTTTCCTGCGATGATTCTTGCTGGCTGCTGTTCGGATGCGAATTTGCAAATTCAAAGGCATGCGTAAGCCACTCGATGTTGGAGGATTTCTGGGGGTATTGTTGGCATTGGTTTTGGAGTAGTCACCAGTGGATGCGGAATGTTTTCGCAGCTATTTTTAAATTAGGTAATAAAAACGGCCCGAAATTATTCCAGAAGTGTGATTTTCCGTTGGTTAAAGTTCTTTTTTATGGTTTTTGTTGCACTTTTTCAATCGGTTATATATATATTTTGCACTGCTACTTTTCACTTAAACCTGTGCGCACACAAATTCGTTTGAAGACATTATGGGCATTAATGCATGTACATTAAAATATTTGTGTGCTTTGGGTGGGTGGGTCGGTGACGGGTTAAGGGAGGGGCAGGGAGGCATTGGGAGGGTTAAAATGCAGGCAGCGATCTCCTTGCAATTGCATTGTTTTTATTCCAACACAGAGATAGGTAAACACACCCACACACCATCGCAAAAGCCATACATATTCCAATCGCTCTCTCGCAGCGCACTTTTTCTCTCTCACTTCCGTTAACGTCTGCGCTCTGGAACGCTCTCTACCTCTCTCTCTCTCAGCAGTTGTTGCTGCTTTTATTGTTGTGCTTTTTGCTGACTAGTTTTCACGAAACATTTAATGGATGACGACTTGGAGTTGGGGGAAAACAAGTTTTGGCCGAAAAATTAAATACTAATGAAATACTAAGCGGACATACACAGGCAGGAAAATTCCAGCGATCCTTTTCAGCTCGCCTATTTTCCATTGGAACAGCTGATTGTTCAATTAATCTCATGTTCAATTACCGTGACAAAAAAAACAATTCGCACTGATCTCACTGTTTGGTTTGTTTACCCAAATAAATCAAATCTTGCAGTTTCACTGCTTTTTAATTAAACGCAAATATTTAATTGAATAAATATGTATACACACAAACTGATCCGTGTGTGTGTGGGGGTGCGAGTGCGATCATCGCCGCAAACGCAAGGCAAAACAACATGGCTGCCGCCGCCACTTGTTAGAGAAAAATAACCGAATCGGAGTCTCGAAAAGCGTCCAGTGTTTATTTTGTACTCATTAATTATATCGACGCCTGATCCGCCAGGCCGCACATCCCTAAAATCGAAATAAAGCTATGTACTGCAGTTCAAGAGTTCAGCACTCGACTCACACACACACACACCACTCACTGGAAAATAAATACATATGCCGTCATACACTAGCCCCTATAAGCGCGCTGCGTCTGTCTGCGTGCGATAGGTTAGAGATCATTTTTAGACAAATTTGCGTACAATTTTCCTAGCAATTGCCATTACAAGTTCGCGAAATTTTTCGTCGTTGACGAATATCCACAAATGCACTTGTACTTTATACGCCAGTGTGCGGGTGTGTAAAAGTCTCTTTTTTTATGGCTTTTGTTGCTGCAGTGAGCTCACGCGTAGCGAGCTGCGCATCATTCTTTCTTCGCTTTTTCACTTTCGCCACGCACTTACTTTAAACTTTAAACGCACTCGTGTTGCCACCAATTGTATTCCACAAAGCTGCGAAAACTGTTTTTATTTTTTCACTTATCGCGCCATCAAAACACGCACACGACGTTCTTTTCTTTTCAGGTTGAAAATTGGAATGACGATAAAGAGCGCAGAGAATCGGGCATATTTATTAGTGTTGGAAAGGGTGGGTTTTTGTACAACAGTCCGTACCTAAGAATAGGTACAATAAGTATATATAAATTAGAATTAATAACCTACTATTTTTAATAAGAAGTTAAGAACCTAAGTTAAGAATCTAAGCAGCCAAATAAAAGCCGAAGACAAGGTGACATTCTTAGCTCAAATTGTAAGAGCCATTTAATATGTTATGCAGTTATCTTAGAAATTGTAAAACCAAATTAAGTATTTCAAAAACCGAGCTTATTTACTGGCGTTGGAACCAATAGGTTTTTGTAAAGCAACTTATACTTAAGAATAAATTGCTTTAAAAACAATTTAAAATGTTCATATTCAGGTATCTTAGAAATTACAAACAAAATTAAGTATTTCAAAAACTGTTCAGTTAAAATTTAATTATCATAAAAGCCAGAACGTATATAAATTATATTTACTTACACAAAAACATCCCTTTTAGTTGCATTAAAATCAAATGCTGCTGAACAGCCCAGTGTCAATGCTGAAGATATTAACCCATTTTCGGATTTATACTTTAGTTGACGTTGAAAAATAGTAGACATTTTTAAAATAAAAAGATGAAGATTCGTACATGATGATATCAAGAACCATACATGTATACAAATTATATTTATTTAAACGAAAACATATATTTTGGTTACTTGAAATCAAATGCTTCCTTAAAGCCCAGTGTCAATGATAAACATATAAAAACTTATGTATTTACTTGTTAGGCAAAAACGTACACAAAATATCGCCTAGGTACTTAGCTATGAGTTCCCCAACACTGATATTTAGTGTGAAACTGGTGCTTAACAACACTGGCCTGGCCAGAATCTTTTGCAACACTTGATCTGGCGTGCCTACAGAAATCAAAACAAACGCACAACCACCCACACAAACATGCAAACAGACAGGACAAAGAATAGACAAGCAAATCCGCTATTTGTTTTTCTCAAAATGTCGTTTATTTTGCGGCGGTTACTCGGGTGGCCAAGCAAAAGGCAGGGCAACGCACCCACCGCCTTTGAGATATCGTAATTTTCCCTAACAAATACCATCCTAGAACAAATCTGGTCCCAGGAGGTAGAACAGCAATACAACTAGGTAATAGAGCAGTAATCCTATAAATGCCATGTTGTAGTTTGGGCTCTCCTGGTTCGTGCGCCACATTGAGGCGCACCACTGGCGTCATGAGCTAGTGCCCTCCTGGATTGGACTTTCCCCATCCACTTTGCTGCTCTTCTGCAGATCCAGGTTGCCCACCACATCAGCACCTTCGTCGTCCACATTCTGAGCAATAGGACTTTCGATGATCCTGCGATCCTCGTACTGCAAGTCGCAAATCTCCACCGGATCCGGCTCGGGAGGAGGATGAAGCCTACTCGACTCCAGCAGCTGAAGGTGGTAGTAGACGCCTTCGTCATCTATGGCATAGAAATGGGAAAACTTCGCATTGGTGAAGAATCGGCGGGCTTCATTGCCCACGAACTTGATGCATGCTAATAGTTCCGGACGGATAGCATTGCCACGCTTATTCCGCCAGAGGGCAACCACCTCTGGACTCTCTGCAAGGAATTCGCGCGCAATAAATGCGGGATCTACTTCCATGTACACTCCGATGGGCGCCGCATCCACAGCATCCTCCTGCGTCACACTGTGTAGTTTGTGGCGACGACTGCGCCGCTGGCTCTGCTTCCGCTCCATTTGGTTGTTGCGCATGTGCGTCACGTTCCAGAAGCACAGCTGCTCAGCACAGCTTATCAGAAGGAGGTTGCATGGCGAGAAGAGGAGTTGACGGATGCAGTGCTGGTGGACCTTGTGAATGCTGTAGATCAGTTGAACTTCTCTGTTCTCCAAGGCGAAGAGCTGTTTGGGGAAATTGTAGTTAAGAGCAACTAATTAAGACTGATAACCCACTCCTACCTCTACAAAGCCATTCTCGAAGCCCAGTGCAAACATGCTACCATCCTCCGTGGCCGCCAAGTAGCTGATCTTCGCCTTCTGCGAGATCTTTTCCTCGCAGATCCGCTCTTGCCTCAGTTGATTGCCGCTGAATTTTAAACGGAATACCTGCGAATGAATTTGCATTGAATTAGCAGGTTTTTAAGTTTCATTTAGGTACCCCACCTCAATTGTGTTGTTTCCATGGGCCAGGAAAAGATAATCGTTCTTCAGATCAAAGCCCTCCAGCGATTCTTCTGACTCTTCAGGCTTTTCGAATGCGGAGAGGTTGGCCAAATCAAAATGCTGTCGAAATATATTCAATTATATAGTCCTCCAATCTTTAATACCAAAACTTACACAGACTGCGTGCTCAGAAAACAAGATGATAAACTGTTCTCGCAGAAGACGGGCGTACTTGGTGCCCACATCCAGGTGCAACGGCCATTGGTCAACGGGCAGCACCTGGTTTGCCTTCCCAATGTGGAATATCACAGTCTTCTGGACGCCATGAGCAGAGGCCACCAGCAGTTGCTCGCTAATCTGTTTGAGGTAATCGATGGGCTCCTTAATAAATTGCTGAGGTAGAACCGCGTCATGGTTAACATCTATGATGACCCCGTCTGCATAGCCAACGTAGATCTGCTCGTTGTTTGAAGCGGATATGGCAGTTATCTTAGGTTTACTGGCAGCATGCGTGGGTGTGATTGTTGACCAAGATGAAATGCTAGATCTTCTGCCGGCACTTGGATTGGTGGCAGTTTCAATTTGGTGAATACGCTCTTTGGAGTCCACGGCAAGAAGTTGCGTCCGCCCGGCAGTCATGTCCATCAGGGAACGCAAGTACACGGTAGGCTCGAGACAGGCCCTTGTCATTACGCTCTTCTCATCTGCACTGTGAACCCAGGCGATTCCCCGATCTTGATGTGGCTCTATCCCACAGACGGAGCGCAACGTGTGCACATGGACCACCTTCTTGCCCTTGGCTCCACACAAAACTATGTACTTATAGACAGGATCGCATAGCTCATAGATATCCACACACTGGATGTGTTCGCTGACATTGCTGCGAAGCACTGGATTGGAGTTCCGGAGATCGTACACAATTAGTCCCTCGGAGGTGCCCAGTAGAAGGTAGTGTCCGTCATCTGATCGCTTGCCGCATGTAATGAAACTGCCCTCCGGCAGCTGCACTGCCTCTGACTGCAAGTCATAAGAACCACACATAAAATTTAGCCGCCAAACGCTATGCTTGAAAATAAGCAACACGGTGGCTTCTTGATTCCTTTCAAATGCTTCCAAGGCCAAAGGCGTTTCGTTAACCACATAATAATTTGGACGTTCTAGTCTTTCGTCGGAACCATTGTTCAAATTCCACACAGTCAAAGCGCATCTCGAGTTACACACCACGTAATATCGCTTTAGGATCTGCACAAAGCAGCGGATTTCCGATTGGAGCGTCTTTAAAGCAGGGGTGTGCGATAGTTTGAACATCTGATCTTGCTCGTCCCAGTTTAAGATGTTCACCTCGCCATTGCTGAAGGCCACGTGCAGTTGGATTTTGGTATCCGGCAATCCGTCTTGTTCGTCCAAATAGTAAGCCATAATTTTCTGATCTGCGTTGGTGCTAATGTAGCGCTTGACCACGCTGTTAACCAGCTGCTGGTAGCTCCTCGTCCCCGTTGGCTTTCGAAGATGTGTGGAGCCAGGAGGTCGCACCCACTGCTTGCAGCCTCCACTGTGGCGCCTTACTGGACAATCCGGCCACAGTGACCAAAGCTTTACGCTGCCGTTGCTGTGCAAGGTTATCAAGTGCTTCTGTTGGTTAAGCACGGACATCCGTAGGATTTCACTGCTGTCGTCATCGTCCCTCAGAAGATACGTTTCCTCTCCCTCGAGTGAAACGTCGGTAAGGAGTAGTTCTCTGCTGCCTAGCGCCAACAGGCAAAAGTCGTTTTTCAGGTAAATGGTGTGGCGCACCTCATTAGTTCCCAGGTTGATGATCTGGCGGTCCTGGTGAAAGTGGCCACTGGGAAAAGGGAAATTAAATTATTCTTTAATTTTTGGGCAATTATTTAGTCATAACATACTGCTCTGTAAACCAAACTCGATCGGGAAACCTCTGCACTTGTCGTTCAGCCTCCTTGGAAATCGCCTCATCCTCCTCCATCAAGGCAATTCTGAGCAGATCCGTAAACTCTGAGCGAATAAGTTGCTCCTCAATCTTTGGCAAGAAATCCAGAATGGCATTAACCAAGCGCTCATACTTAACGTCATTGTCTAAGTGAAAAAATACAGTAAGTGAGATGCCTTAGTTTCTAATTTATCTACGTACTGCAAATATCTGACTTGTAGAACTTTAGCTGCTGCAGCGTGTTCAATATCGATCCGCTGGCATTCCAAGCCGTTGTGTCGTGCCGAATCTTTTGTTCTAAAAAGCGAAAGTCCAGGAAGACCGTGCGAAACAGAATTGCCCGCTCAGTGGGCTCAATGGATTTGAGGTGATATCCGATGTGGGTATAGAAATATCTGTCCAATGATGGCAGTATCAAGTCATCGTGGTCGAAGGCCTTTAAGATGCTTTGAAAGAAAGAGAAAATTTAAATGATTTTAATCATTTTAAGTTAATTTGTTGGAAAATTCAGATATAATACATAGTTGATTGATGATTCAAAATACAAATAAAAATCTGACATCATTAACGATTTAAGATGACAAATCATCAATCACAGATCAGTTTTATCTATACTCTTACTTGTAGCGATCAACGATCCTCCGATGCAGAGCGGTAATGTCATCAACCTTTACTTTCAACTCCGAGTATATGGCGGGTATACTAATGGTTGACTCTTTCGGTTGCTTCTTGACAAACGAGTATTTTTGCAGCTTGTTAACCACAACCATCGCATCGTGGCCATCGGATTTGTCATCGAACCAAATCAGCGATAAGAGCTGCACAATAACAATTTAACAATGATTAGCAATATATATTATGCTTATGTGAAACACACTTACATCGATAGGTATGTGGGCAGAGGGAGGGAATATGGACAATCTGTCAAACATTTCCCGATAGACTTTGTCTAAGACGCTTAAGGAGCTCTCAATGATGGTAGTTAGTTTATCGCAATTTACACTAAAAGGAAACCCGCATTAAGTAAGTCACACAGTGGAAACCTCCATTATATACTCACTTTTTCCAGTTGTCCCAAGAGGCCAAGCCATCTCGAATGCTCTCGGCAATGATGCTTAGTCTGCGCGGATTCGTTGTTAGAACTTCTCTTGGCAAATCCTGCGGTCTGCAGTGGAGGTATTTGAGAAACAACGATTTAACTTCATCGGGCGTAAGTGTCATCGAATGATGATCCAGTGAAATGTGAGTTGTGGTGGCATTCGAGAGAAAGTCAGTGACCTTCTTGAACCTTGTAGTTAGCAGAATCTTGCAGTTCAGGTTGAAGGCATTCCAAGCCTCTTCATTTTGCACATTCAGCAGGACAAGAAGGCAATTTTCATAGGGCTTGCTCTTTAAAAGGCGTCGCAATTCCGCCTGGATGCTGTGAATGCGGAACTTGATGTTGCTGCCTTGCTCGCTACGACTTGTCCAATTTGGATCTATTTGATGAAGCAGCGTCTGAAGCATCTCTAGCACTGTCTCTGGAGTGTTGCAGTCCTTCAGGTTCAGCCAGAAGATCTTGAAGTCCATTTTACGTTGCACTTTGTAAGATGAACACACATCCAGGGCAAGCCACTGTTTTCCCGATCCCAAAACGCCATCGACCAAGACATTTTTGGCTGGCCGAAGTTCTAGCACTGCCTGCATCAGCTTCAAATACTGCGAATAAAAAGAATACTCTGGTAAATAAATTGTTTTGTATCTTCTGATTCTGATTAGCATATGGAAATGGAAGATAATCCTACCGGTAGCAAGCGATTAACATTGTACTTGGCAAACACTTGGTTGTCGTTATACAGGCGATCCCGCTGCTCGATGTATGCTCTGGTCTCCCTGCTGGGGTTCCGAAGCTCTTTCTGGATGGCAACCATTAGGAATTCGTAGTTAGCCTGGTCGATCCGATTAAGAACGTCCTCGACAAAGACCTTGACCGTTTCCTCTGGCTTTTTAAACAGTGCCCATAGCAAGAGGAGAGTCGAGGTCTTGACTTCCTTGGACTTGATGATGATGACGATTTCCTCTTTGGACAATACTTGTGGCAGGATGTCCTGGACATCCTTAACGTCAAAATTATCGATGAATGCATCAAAGAACACAAACAATATGTCCTTGTAGTGGTATTGCTGAACTCTCGAGTCCATGTTGTTCCCTAAATAGCTCTGCATAATACAAAATGAAATAAATATTACCATAGGAATGTTTAGGAATTCATTTTTTTTTTAATTTAACTTTTTAATGTTTTTTATAGACAAGCGTTTTACAACACAAACAAAAACAATATGCGACCAATTCATTTGACAATACACTAAATCAATGTCCATTCTTGTGTGGCGTGTTCAACATATATATAAAAAAAAATTATAAATGCTGCTCTTTTACTTATTTTTATGCACATTTTTGTGGATTTTACAAGTAATTTATCAATAAATTGGCTTTTTTCTTTATTGATTTGAAACGCAAAGTTTTGGCCACTGATGCTCGCAATGTTTTTCATGGCGCCAAGCGGTCTTGACCCACTTAATTTGAACACCCCGCTGTCTACAAAGACGAGAGATGTCAACGAGTGGTTAGTTTAGATATGATAAGGTGGAAATACAGATACCGATCCCCCACACCCCCAAAAATTAGTTTTAACTGTACTGATCAGGAGCGCTAATTTCACAACTGGCCGCCAAGGAGAGAACGAACGAACGTGATCAGCTCCAAATAACTTGGAATCCGTGAGTGGAGCTCTCGTCGAAATAGGCAATTCTAGTTGCAGTTCTATAAGGCCAATGTCGCCGCTCCAAATCTGATCACCACCACTATTCGTATTTACCCGCTGAATTCACTTGTTAGATAAGCGAGCGCAGACAGAGACAGAAGATGAGTCACTAGTGGGCCCACATGTGCAGATAATATACATACTATGTATGTATAAAGTAGTAAGCAAAAGTATAAACAACAGATAAATGTGAATGAACTTCGCGGCTGTCTCTGTCTGTGTGTGGGTGTGCGATTGTTTGATTTTTTAAATTGCACATACACGTAACAGTGTCTTAGATTTTAATTTTTAAAATGATAAAAAGGGGAGACCCCAAACCAAATACGGGGGAGCTACGTGACAAAATAAAAAACATTAAGCAATTGCACTAATAAAATGCCAACTAACGCACACAGGTGCATGTTCACCTGCATTTCAATACAATGCAGTTCACGCATACTTACGCTTTGTTTATTTATATCAATTTGTCCTTAATACTAAGTGTATATATATGTATATATGTGTAGATATTGCACGTTGTCCTAATTAAATCGATGCTCCGGCTGCACTTCACGCACTATTCCTTGTGCTCACATAGTTTTAGCACCTTATTATAAGCGGACACGAGCGATACAAATAAATGGCACACAATACGCATATTCACTAAGCTAAGACACAACAAAAAATATTTCGTTAGAGGTGGACGTTTAGTATCGACTATCGAAAAAAACAGCTGTAGGCGCTGCCACATTTTAAATTACCGCAAATTTGAGTATTATTACAAAGAATGACCCAAAAAGAAAACTTGCAATTTTGTTATTGTATTAGCCATATCTTTGATAACTTCATGACTTTATTTAGAGTATTCACAGTTCCGTCGTAGGCACTTTTTTAATTATAATATAAAACAATGACATGTGCTCATGGAGCTTCTTCTGAATCCTTTTCCAGATCTTCAGCTTGGGGTAGCTCCCGAGCCGGCGAGCAGCAAGTTGACTGGGGCAACTGTTCGTCGGCAGCCTCCTGTTTGATGATAACATTGTTCTGAAGGCACAGCTCTATGCTCTTGTCCAAGTCCGGCAACTGTTCGTCGGCAGCCTCCTGTTCGATAATAACATTTTTCTGAAGGCGCAGCTCTATGCTCTTCTCCAAGTCCGCGCATATGACGATGTCACTTCACAAATATGTAAAGGCACAGAGGTTAAAGAAATACATCTAGATATAGCTTTAGCTGCTTACTTGTCTTCATTGTTGTTGTTATTCTCCTGAACAGTACTGACTGCCATTTCATCAAGGGGCTTGCCAAATTCGAGTAACTGTGCCAAAGGAGTCTGAAGCTCATCCTTGAAAAAGTTTAAGCCTGATCGCTTCTCTGGGATCATGTAGAAGCGGTTATAAAACTTTTGCAGGGTGCTGCGGAAAAAGGCTGAGTCGCCCATAAGTTCTAGGCATTGCTCTCTGGTCTTCGTTATCCTGGAAAACACCTTCCCTATGTTCAGGCTATTAAGGAATGTTTTGAAGGAAACGGGAAATACAAATGTCCCACTCCTGCTGAAAGACAAGGAGTTGATAATGGGTTAAGCTTGAAATGGATACTACTCACCCGTTTAATACGATCATAACACCTTGGGAGCTTCTATCTTGGTTTTGCAAGGCACGTGCAATATCCTTTAGCTTGACTTTTAGCTTTTTTACTGTTTCAGTGTTCACGTGGTCTGACATTTTTTTCGCAACTCTAAACAACTTGAGGACGCTGTGAAAACTAAAAAGTTAACGGTAAAACTAAAAACGAACCAACAGTGTGGCCGTGCAGGAGACATTGAAATAAAGCAAATAATTCGCCTTGTTTTTTGTCACTCAGTCAACCAATGTTATCATCCTGGAATACCCAAGATTCCCTCCTTATCTTTGATAAAATATAATTGGTATTTGTTGATTTGTTTTGCGTTCGATGGCATTAAAAGTTTTTGCTGAATCTACTCACTGTTGGAAAAACGCTCCTTGTATACGCGGGAAGTAGCTACAAAATAGCTGTTAACAGTGTTGGAAAATTATCATTTACCGTTTGGATGTCAAATAATCAAAGTGTATCGTTCCGATATTTAGAATTTGCCCAGGTAATTTTCCGCTAGCCACTTGCGACCACACCGAAGGTGAAAAGGCGAAATAATTAATTGTAACAAATTGCCGCAGCGCGAATAAAAGGTGCGTAGATTTTCTCAGTCGCTATAGGCGGTCACAGGTCCGTTTCCCCGTCTGCATTTTCCATATTCCACGGGCAGTAAAACGTGCAATTCCTCCAGGATAAAAAAGCCGAGCAGACGCAGACGAGAAAGTGACGACGCAGCAAAACGAAGCAACAAAAAAAAATCGGCGACGTATACGTTCAACTTTGACAGAATTAAGGTAGGCATTGGAAATTCAAGACTTTTGCCAGCCGCAAAACAAATTCAGTTTACTGGGAGACCAAGTGACCCTAATCCGGTGACGAAAAAAAAAGAAAGGAAAAAATTAGTGCGCAAGGAAAACAAAATGTCCGCGACTTTGACGGAACTGGCGTCCCCGACGCTCGCAGACGTAACCACGCTGGATTTCCCAAGCGAATGTGATTTGACCCCTGAAGATTACTAACCCCTCCTCCTTTAAACCCCTCGTGCTTTTCTAGTTTTCGAGTCCAACTCCGCCGCCACCGCAATGTCATGCCGCGCCCCCTTCCAGCCCGACGACCAGTATGAGCAGATGCGCCGGCCGAATGTCGGGGCAGGATCCGGCGGAGTGGCCATGCCAGGCCTGGAGCAGCAGGCACATCTCTTTGGGGAGTACGGCCAGGCCTACGGGCAGGCGCAGGTAGCCGGGGGCTACCAGCAGCAGCTGCCGGTGCAGGCCATCCAGGCCCAGGCCCAGACCTTGTCCGACTTGTCCAAGCTGTCGCCGGCGGCCAGCGTCTTCGTCCCTCGAGGAGTTGCTCCACCTCAGCAGCAGCAGTCGCGCCATCAGCAGTACCAGCAGGCTGGTGGAGCAGGCGGCTCCGGAGGAGCTCCCTATGGCCAGCAGCGCTACGTGAACGGCTACAAGCACCACCATCAGCAGCAGCACCACCAGCAGCCGCACTACAACCATCACCACAACCATCAGCAGAAGTTCAACAACGACATGCAGAAGATAACGAATTCCGTGCAGAATCGCCTGCACCTGAACAGCCAGCAGGGCTCGGCTGGCAACTACTATCAGCAGCAGCAGCAGCAGGTACACCCACAAAACACACACCACCACCAACAACAACAACACAACAACCAGCAGCAGCATCAGCCACACAATCAACACGCCAAGTTCCAACGGCATACCCACTTGAATAACTCATTCCAACAAATCGCACAGCAGACACAGCACCACCAGCAGCCGCACCACCAGCAGCACAGCCAGCAGCAGCAGCAGCAGTATTTCCAGAACCAGAACCAGAACCAACAGCAGCAGCAACCGCAGCCATCCACTTCGTCCGCGGCGGCCTCCTCGTCGTCCTCAAACTCTTCGCAGCCGGACATGGCCACCATTGCACTGGAATATCTTGATACAGTCATACATTGCCTTAACCAGGTGAGCGTCCAAAAGGAAATTATATATTACACAATAGATAGTAGTTGGGTGAATCTTGTAATTGTTTTGTTATCTCATATAAAGACAAGCAGGGGTGAGAAATAATAGGGTGTAGAAGAAGCATCAATTGTCAGAAATAAATCAATACTTTTGATCAGCTAATCACTTGTATTGTAAGCATTTTTTCAAACAAGAATCTATCTATCTATTTTGTAACTTTCTTATTAAATGGTAGACAGAAAACATGTTAAGTAAATCGTGTTGACAAACAAATTTAAATATACCCAAACTTAAAGATAGAAAATACATTTTTCAACAAGAACTCATTAAGTTTACCCTATGATTATTTACCCCCTAGAATCCGGGCCAATTTGATACCATTGCATCACGCTTCCTGACCATTTTCGATGGCATGGAGAACAACCACTACGTTCTCTCCATCGCCATGGAGGACATCTTCGAGAAGTCGATCGAGCAGCCGAACTTCCGGTACATGGGCGCCAAGCTGTACAACCTGCTGCACATGCTCAACCCGAAGCCGGACTCGCTGTTCCACACGCTGCTCAAGTGCAAGCTGGACTACCACCAGAAGGAGGTGACCAAGTACATGCGCTCCAACGAGCAGCAGAAGGTGCGGGAGACGGCCCTCTTCCTGGCTGAGCTGTACATGCAGTTGCGTGGGGACGACGACTCGCGCATCCAGTTGATTGCGGTGAACATCGTCTATTCGCTGAGTAAGCTACTACTGAGTGAGAGCAACGAGAATGTGCGCTGCCTGTGCCAGACCCTCAAGCTGGCCGGCTACGATCTGAGCGCGGATTGCCCCAAGGACATGCTGGAGATCATCACGGCCCTGCAGGCGATCGAACTGAAGTCGCCGGGCAAGTACGCCATGGCGGCCAGTGTGATTGCCCTGCAGCAGAACAACTGGGGCCGGAAGGTGTCCAACGCCCTTGGCGGCGACGAGGACATTGTGACGGAGCCGCTGCGCCTCAGCGATGAACCAGTGTTCTACGGACCCGATGGCCGCGAGCTGACCGCCGAGGAGACCGACTTCCTGGCCACCGAGGATGGAGACGGAAGCGATGGCGACGACTTCGACGCCGACGTCGGGGACTTGGAGATGGACGCCGAGATGGACGAGGAGACCGAGCGAGCCTACAAGGAGTTCTGCAAGCAGGGCATGCAGAATAAGACCTAGACGACTGCGGACGACTGTGTGACGGTGGGCGGATTCGCGGGGGCGTGGCCAGTGGCAGGATGTAGAAGGAGGAGGAGGAGGACGGTAGAGAGCGAAGGAATTGAGTGAACCTTTCCCAACAAATTCTCGGTTGTGGGATCGATGATTGCAGTTGCTTGGTTCAGAACCGATTGTGATTATCTTTTAAATTATTGATAGCAAATTGTTTGTGATATCTTCGTGTTTCATGCACTTAACATATTATGACATGTGTTTATGACTTTGTTCAAGCGCTTTTTTGTGTGATACGCCCGTTTTGTATCTGTATCTCTAATATCTAACTCTCTGCCAGGATTACCGGATAACCAGCCAGTTCACTCATCAGTTTGTATTTTTTTACTCTCAGTTTTGAATTATCGCAAAGCAAAGCCAGGATTTTTAGCCGTAAACGGCACAGATATATAATTATATAGCCACTGCCTCGCCGATCCGATCCGATCCGCCAACACACACACACGCAGCTGCACTCAAAGACTCGTACTCATATGCGCACCCACACACTTGCATGGCACATATGCAGACTCATAAAACGGCAGAAAAAAAAAAAAACCGCAAATTTCACATTCAATTAAACAACATTCTCTTGATCATACAAAACGAAAAAAAAAACAACAGCAGCCACGCCTAATTTTTAAATAATTGTAATTAATGTTAACGAAACCATGATTTAATTATAAATAAAATTTATCGAATTGCGTTTAAAACAAGTTCAGGTTGAAAGACTTAATTGATGGGGAAATGAAAGTGGTTGAATTGCCGATTGAAATCCGTTATAGTTCGGTTCAATTGTACTGACTGCATCCCTTCATCCTAGCCATGTTTTGAACCAAATATCTTATTAATATTCGGAAAATGTATTTTTATATAATTAAAATGATAAATTGAAATTAATCATTGTTATGTTAAAAAAAAATTCAAAATGTATTTATCACTTAAATTATTGACGTTGGACTTATAAAAAATCATCGATAGATAAACACAAGCTCATATGTTTGATGTATCGATAGTATCGCATTTATGACTGCAGTCTGCCCACCTCTAATGAATCTGCTCGGGACAGTCAAGTAAAAAATATCGGATCGGGTCGAAGTGTAAAGCAAATCGGTGTGAATTAAATTATTCGCTGTAATGTGATAAAAAAAACGGTGGCGAGTGCTCGTGACAATCGCGCAAATGTACGTCAGTGTCCCAAAATTTAAGGACCTTGAATCGAAATTGGAGACCACAACAAAAGTGACGTCATAATGGTGCTATTTATGTATTTGTATGTACGTCCATGTATCCATACAAAGTTTTTGCTAAATATTTGCCAGTGAGACGCAAACACACACAAACTCACGCCCGCTAGAACATTAATAGATAAAACAATAAAAACAAAACTAGCAATAAGCTGTAATCTCTAGAGTATTTATAAGAAAATCGGGAAAATCAAGAACAACAAAGACAAAGTGACAACTAAAGGTCACAAAACAGCGAAAAAAAAACAAATACGGTGCTCGCGAGTGTGTGTGTGCGTGTTTTTTGAGTATTTTTGCAGACAACAAAGCTATAAAAATTTGTTTCCAAAATATATGTGTTTACATATACGTATATATAGTTTGTTTTGCGCTTTGTAGACATAAACTTTCGATTTTATTAAACTCTATAATTGTAAAGAATTAACACCTGCATTTTGCATTCTCTTTTTTTTTGTGAATAAACCTTGTAAAATGACCCAGAAGTATTATAATATTTTATTCTGTACCCAGATCGCCTGCGCCAAAAGTTAACTGATAAACATGACACAATAAATTAGGAGAACCAATCAACGACGATCGAAAAGGTCTAATTTTTATACAAACCTCAACACCCCGAATAAATCCAAATTAAGGAGTCCCAAACGATCCGCACCCGCTAAAATGGCCAGCGTCTGGAAGAGATTGCAGCGCAACTTCAAGCGCGCCGCTA